GGTGGGAGCAATTTGCTGGAGAAATCGGGAAGGGATGAGATCAAAGGTGGCTGTAGAGAGCTTGGCTTTGGCAAGGAGACGAGCTATTTCTTCATCTGAGACTGGACAGGCAGAGATTAAGCACCTACTGTGTGCCGATCACTGTGCTGAGTGCTTTACAAATATCTCATTTGATCCCAACAACCTTAAAAGGTAGGTGCTGTTATCATGCCCATTTTACAGATGAGGACACTGAGGCAAACAGCAGTTAAATGACTCGCCCAGGGTCACATGGCTATTAAATATCTGAGGCTAGATTTGAACTCAGGTCTTTCTGACTGCAGGTCCCACACTCTTCCCATTGCACCACCCAGCTGCAGTGAGACAGAAACAAATTTTGGGCACTAATGAATGGGGAGACAAACTTCAGGCCCCCACAGAGCATCCTTCACTTGTGTTCTGTAACTTTTTTTTCTGAAAAAAAATTTTTTTTTGGTTGAGTGACTTGCCTAGGGTCACACAGCTAGCGTTAAGTGTCTGAAGTCAGAATTGAACTCAGGTCCTCCTGACTCCAGGGCCGATGCTCCATCCACTGCACCACCTAGCTGCCCCATCTGTAGCTTAATTTTTTTTTAAATATAAATTTATTTATTTTTAGTTTTCAACATTCCCTTGTACAAGTTTTTGAGTTCCAAATTTTCACCCCATCTCCCTCCTCCCCCCACCCCAAGATGTCATGCATTCTGAATATCCCTTCCCTTACTCTGTCCTCCCTTCTATCTCTCTCCCCTTCTCTTATCCCCTTCCCCTTCTATTTTCCTGTAGGGCAGGATAGACTTCTGTACCCCATTTCCTATATTTATTTCCCAGTTGTAGCTTAATTTTTAAAAAAAATATTTTGATAATTGCATTCCTTTGTAATCCTACATATATGCATTTAAAAAACACCTGGAAAGGAGCCCAGAACACAAAACAGGTGAAGATCCCCTGCTTCAGGCAGCTCCCACAAGGCCCCAGAAAGAGAATGCAGGCTACTTAAGAGCAGAGACCTTTTCCTTTGGTCCTTTCAATTTTAGTGCACCATACACAGAAAGTGCTTAATAAATGCTTGCTGCTTGTTTGCTCTTGTTTTTGATTAATCATTGTCTTTAATTATTATTATCATTAACCATTATTTCTGTTTTTTTTAATCATTAGATCTATTGATTCCAAGAGATTGTAAACTTCCTGAGAGCAGGCACTGTTTCCTTTCTTGTCCTTGCACCCCCCGGAGCCTAGACAGTAGCTGGCATATTGTAGGCACTTAATAATGCATACTGATTGTGTGGGGAAAGGGCAGATGTTCTTCAATCTGGGGGAGCAATAGACCCCTCTGTCAGTTTGGGTGCACTCCTTCTTAGAATCCTGTTTTTAAATGCATAAAACAAAATAGTTGGGGATTACAAAGGGCATTGACTATAATGAAATGCAGGTGTTCAGAAAGCCAAAAACTAAAACGAGGCTGGGGACCCCAGATTAGGAAGCCCTGCTGTTAGAAGACACTCAGAATGAGGAGAAATTGGGAGGGCTTTTCTGGGGGTCGGGGTGAGGTTGAAATAGGAAGAGGAAGGAGTTTGCGGAACCATAAGAAGGGTGTGAAGGCAGTGAGAAATGTGGAACTTAGAAAGAGGGGTTGGACAGAGTGAGGGCGGCATGAGCTCTGAGGAGGGAAGAGAAATGAGCTATTGGGAAGGAGAGAAGAAAGAAGTTGGATACAGTAAGAAGAGGAGAAAGGAAGTCAGGAGGCCGTGAGAGGGGAGGGTTTGGGAGCAATCTACCCATCAGCAAGCATTTATTAAGCACTTATGGTGTGCCAGGCACTGGGCTAAACACTGGGGACACAAGGAAAGGCAAACCCAGTCCTTGACCTCAGGGAGCCTACACTCTAACGGGGAAAACAACATATACATAAATATTATTTATACACATACACACACATACACACACACATACATATATATACACTATATATACACAAACACATTTTATATATATACATACACATACACACACATATCCTTAAACTCCTAGGGGATAACTTCCTCTTGCCATATAACCTGGAAAATTTCAGTCAGCTTTGTATGAACAGTGCACTCCCTACCTCGTAAATCTCAGCTGGAATAGAATCAGCACGAGGCACTTTGCCACATGAGAGAGACCTAATGGTATTCAAAACCTCTTCTTTAACTGGAACTTCAGCTAGGAAGGGATTGACTTCAACCTAGGGTATATGGTCAGTGGCTTCAGCATTGATTGATGACGGTCTGCTGAGAACACAATGGAAGTGTTCAGCCCATCTCTCCAGGATCACGTCCTTATCACTAATCAGTGTGGCTCCATCAGCACATCGAGCAGTTGAGATGCACCATGAGTCTTTGGCCCATAGATAGTCTTCAGGGTGTCATAAAAGTGCTTTGGATTATTACTATCAGCATAAAACTGAATTTATATGCCTTCTTACTGAGCCAAGAATCCTGCCTCTCTCTAAGCTTTGCTTATGCTTTAGTTTGGTGGAATTAAATGCTGCCTTCCTAGAGATGGATGAACTATTCCGCTGGTAAATCCTGTGGAGTTCTCGTTTTTCACTCTTTAATTCTTCTGGTAGTCATTTTGCCTTAGAGATACCTCTTTAGTTGAATGTGAATGTTTAGCTTGGAGAGGATAAGCCTATGATCTATATATGTACACACAGACACACACATATACACACACACGTATATATATATATATGTGTATACACACACACACACACACACACAGAACATACAAGCTAGATAGAGCAGATGGACATTTGCCTTACAGGGAAAGGTACTAGCAGCTATGGGGACCATGGAAGGCCTCCTGGAGGAGGCGCTGCTTAAGCTGAGTCTTGAAGCCAGGGATTCTAAGAGACTAAGGATTCTAAGGAGCATGGTAGGCATGAGGCACAGTGAGTGCAAAGGCTCAGAGATGGGAGGTGGAACTTTGTAGTCAAGAGTCCAGTATGGCTCGATCATAGAATAGAGTGTGTAGGGAGAAGCAATGTATTAAAAGACTTGAGATGGAAAGGGGCCAGGTTGTGAAGGGCTTTAAATACCAACCACAGGAGTTTACATCTGACCACCAAAGTCATGGGGCATCATTAGAGTTTATATGCTTTCAGAAACATCGTTTTTTTTGAGTGGAGAATGGATTGGAGTGCGCACAGAGTTGAGGTATAGAGCCCAATTTGGAGACTCTTACAATAATCCAGGTGAGAAGTGATGAAGCCTGAACTTGTGAGTTGAAAGGGTCTGAAAATTCTTGTAGAGACAACAAATTTACAAGACTTTATTAATTAGAGAGGTGGATTAAGAGAGAGGAGCCAGGAGCCGACACCAGGGGTTTGTATGCCTAGATGACCGGAAGGATGATGGCACCCTGCACTATTAGTAACAGGAAAATTCAGAAGAAGGACAGGACAAGTTCCATTTTGGACATGTTGAGTTTGAGGGGTCTCTGGGACATCCGGTTGGAATTAATCCAATAGGCAGCCGGTGATGGGTGACTAACTCAGGAGACATTAGAGCTGTGTAAATAGATCTGGAAATCACAGGATCATAGATTTTGAGCTAGAAGAAACCTTAAGAGATTGTCTACTCTAATCCCTTCATTTTAAAGGTGAGGAAACTGAGACCCACAGGAATTGACTTGCCCAGGGTCTCACACAAGTGGTGTTAAAGCCAGATTATAATCCCACTCTCTGACCCTCATTCACTCAAGATCCGTTTTCTTAACTCATGGTTGACTTTGACTTTCCTTTCGTCCTCACCACTGAAGAGTTACCAAATCCTGATGGTTTTGCTTCCACCTGTCCCCTTGTACCTGCTGGTACCTTCTGCCTTCAGTGCCCATCCTATTCCTATTCTTCCTTAAACCTGACTCAACCATCTCCCTGCTCACATGTACTGTGTGATATTGTGTGCCATTTTTAAAGTGTAAGCTCTCTGAGGTCAGGCACTCCTTTCTTCTGCATTTCTTATCTCCAACAATCAGGAAGCACAGTGCTGCATGGAGAAATGTTCTTTCTTTCCCTCCTTCTAGCTATGCTGCTTTCCCTATAGTTTTCTATCTTCCCAGCACCCAGCAAAGCCATGAATCCCAATGTTTGAGCTCCTCTCTTCCTCACTCATCCATCTTTCCTGGTTCTCTTAAGGATCCACCTTCACTAGATCATGGGGCCTTTAGGGTTACCCCTAATCTTAGATTGCAGCTGCTTGTCAGAGAATGGGGGAAGCGACAAGGGGAAATTTACTTTCCCTAATACTAATCTGATAAATCAAAGTCCACCCTTGCCAGCCTCCGTGATGGGATCTCTCCATCCTTCACACAGGATAACAGAGAACTGAAGGGGTGTTTAGAAGTCATCTAGTCAAGGCCTCTCGTCCTACAGTGAAGTCCAAAGAGGTAAATGGACTTTCCAAGGCCACGAAGGTAAAATATAAGAACTGGGACTTGAACTTGGATCTTCTCACCTCAGAACCAGTTAGAAGGGCTCTTTGAGATTATTGGGCCCAACTCCCTTATTTCAGAGGAGGAGGAGGAGGAGGAGGAGGAGGAAACTCACGTTCCCAGAAGGAAAGTGCTATTTATCATTGTACCTCATACAATGTAGGCATTTGATAAATGTCAGCTGTCAAATTTGAAGTGACTTGCCCAATGTCACAAAGCCAAGTCTTAAGTCAGAGTATCCTGAGTCCCCCATCCAATTCTTTCCATTCCACCATGCTCACCAAAGTGATGCCAGATTCATTATCCCAGTGGCAAGACAAGACACACAAATGGATGGATAGATGGATGGATGAGTGGATGCATGGATGGATAGATAAGTGGATGCATGGAAAGACGGATAGATGAATGGGTGGAACATTTTGAATCTCTTGGATTTAGAACCAAGGGGGAATGGTCATATTTCTATGGAAAAATCAACTCCTTAGTTGGTGAGGACACCATCACCAGCCGCAGACATTTGTAAAGCCTGTTTATTGCATAACTAGCAGGCACAGAACGCAAAACAATTTTACAACATTTAAAAGGTTGTACAATAATTACAATAATAGAATGTACAACAGAAGCGAAATCATAAGTACAGAATGATGAGTGACACTGATAAATACACTTTTCAATAAAAAGGCATTTTTGTTTTTCTTATGCAGCATTTTTGGAAAAAAAAAAAGGATTTCACTCCACCCAGGACAAGGAAAGAAACATGAGATGAACTCCCTGGAAGCTCACTGACGCACCTGCAGAAAGAAGGAAGGGCCTCCTCCGAGGTCCTGCCAGTGAAGTCACATCGGCATTGGGTCCCAGATCCGGAGCCGCGCCTCTGAGGGCCCAGGTCCCCCTTTTTGGCAAACAGGAACGCACCTGACAGACAGGATGGGATTCTGGGCCGAGGGGCCTCAAGGGCAAAGGCGTTTGTAATATCTGCTCCTAAAGTGCACCTCTGTCCTCTTGGCTTCTCAGAAGGGGAGCAATGCATGCTTCCAGAAGAAAAACAGACATGGCCAAGAGGGCTCTTTGGTGCCCTCTGACCCCGACACGTGCAAAAGGGGACCAAAAACAACCCCCCGGGGCGGGGTGCCCTGGGCCAACAGAACAGAAAGCCTCTGGAATGGGGCAGGCGAGACATGGCCCACTGGCGATTGCTTCTGTTCCTGCTAATTGTGCTAATTAAGGACTTCTCTGCATGGTTTTGGCACTGGCTGGGCACAGAGAGAGTGCTCACACTGCAACATCTTGCCTACAAACGCTTTTGCTTCCTTCGTCTTTCTTGGGACGTTGTTCACCATTTAGGAACAAAGGGGTCACTTGAGATGAGCTCATCAATACACTGAAAATAGCTTAGCTTTCCCAACAGTTGAGACACTCTGTCTTCTATTGGTCAATTCATCAATGGCACCAATTCAGAACTGTCACCTGCATTTCCACAGGATTAACCAGCTAAGGTCTGGGGGCTAAACCAAACAGGAGGAGCAAATATTTACAATGTAGAAGGACAAAGAGAGGGCACTGAGTACAAAGAGAGTTACCAGGCAGTTTTTTCTTTTTAAAACAAAAAACACAGAGTGACCTTTCCACCGCCAGCTGCCCCGGTCCAAGGCAGTGACAGCGACAGCCCCACATGAGCGTCCGACAAGGTTATGGCACTTGGTGGCAATGCGAACAAGGGGATGAGAATGACAAGAAATGAGTCCTTCCCCTAACATGCACACACGCACACATGTACACAAACACACACACACACGTACACATCCCCCCTTTATCTTCAAGAGAGCAAAGCTGGAGGGGAGAACCCAATCTGCAATGCACCGGAAATGCTACCATGGAGTGATTCCATGACAGGTATGGCCAAAGCAACAAACACGCTTCTGCATCAGAGGAATCCATTTAGCACACAGCCAAGCTTAGACATCACTGGAAGCAGTGGACCACATTTTACTATGATTATTCCAATGTGTTCATCTGCACAATGATAAGTAGGCTATTGCAGATGTAATTTAAAAGAGAGAGCCAGCCAATGCCCTCCTAACAAACAGCAGCGATGGGTCTGTTCTACGGGCAAACCAGGATTCGCAGCCAAGGTGACCACAGACAGCAACGCCCACAAACGACCCAGTCCCAGAAGCCCTGCCCTACCTGAACCACACCCACACACAGACCTTCACAATCAAGCTGAAGGGACCCTCTTTCTATGAATGAAGAAAGTCCCCAGGGACGGAAGCCACAGCTGATGATCTGTCCCAGCTTGGGGATATCTGGCAGTTGAGGAGCACGTGGGCCTGAGGAGTTTTTTCCAAGTGGTGGCTACTTTTTAGGGAGGGTGAAAACCAGCTTGAGGAACACGAAGACTCATTCTGCAGCGAATTCTTGCAGGACAAGGAGGAATCCCTGTAGGCTGACGGGGATGAAGGAACACGTCCCGTGGCAGGGACGACCAAAGCCGTTTCTGACTTTTGACCTCAGGCAACGGCAGCAGTGTCTGAGGGGGCTCGAGAGAACTGGCCGCAGCTTACTCAACCTACGTGCTTTTTTGCCATCAGTTCTCATAAAAAACCTCTGCTCCATCATCACAGGGCAAAAGGCCTTACCTGGACACAAACCCTGCAGCTGGTGGTCTCGGCCCAACCTAGCCTAACAATGAAGAAAGAGCGTGGTTCCTCGTTCCAGGAAGAGATGGGAGAGAAGGACCAGCCTGTAGGTCATCTCCACCCCGCTGGTCCCCATGCTTCCTTCCAAGGCTGGGGATCAGAAAGGGGCCAGGACCCTTCCCTGCACGGGTTTGGACACGGCAAACTTCCCAGGCGTTGCAGGAACCTGGTGAAATTCTAGCAATTGCACAATGCTTGTATATGGGACAGAGACAGAGACTGTACAGTTTGGGTCCACCTGTCTCGAGGACATTTCTTCCTAAAGCTCTTTTCCTAATTTTAACCAGAGACGACGAGAAGTTGCTAGAGTTGACAAACACGAGACTTTTTTGCACGTAACGGACAAATCAACCCAAGAGCTGTTTACAACATACCAGGATCAGTAACGAAACAGGCAAAACAGGCACAAAATAAGGCAAGTGGGTTAAATTAACAGTGGAAAATCTGTTAGAAAACATGCAAAAATAATACTGAGTCTTATTTTAAAAAGTTTACTCTGCCACTAAATTGTTTTTTGTAAAAATCTGTAACGTTCCGCGTCTACATCTGAACTTGGATCTTACAAAGACTAAGAAAGCGAAGAGGCCTTCAGTGGTTGTTCTCTTTGGTGGTGATGGTCACCAGCTGCTTGGCGGCCTTGGCGATGTCGTACGCACACTGGATGACCTGCTGGGTGACCAGCTGGATGTCTGCCGGACAGCTGGACTCCCCCGGCAGGGTTTTCTTGCACTCTGACTGGAGTCTGTAGGCACTGGATGTCAGGAGGCGCAGCGAAGTCCTCACCATATCAGATTTGGGTTTCTGAAGAAGAAAACAGCAGAGAAAATGTAACCTAATTTCCTCGAATACACACTCAAAGTTGGCCAGGGGTGGGGATCCTGCGGCCTCTAGATCCTCAAGTGCGGCCCTTTGACTCCAAACTTCACAGAACAAATCCCCAAAATCTGGAGTCAAAGAGCTGCACTTGAGGACCTGGAGGACAATGTGTGGCCTCGAGGCCAAGGGTTCCTCACCCCTGATTGGCTTATCTGGCATGTCATCAACTGGAATACCCATTAACCAATGGTTTTGTGAACATCCTGAAGATGCTTTCTTTCAGAGTTCTTGTTAGTGCTGACAAATGTCTGTGAGATCAGGGGTTTAGAAGCTGGATTAAGATCCAGACTGGACCTTGGAGATTACCCTTTCATTTTACAGATGGGGACCCTGAGGCCCACCGGGGACGTGGGTCTTATCTGAGGTCCCGGAAGAAGAGCCCCCAGGCCCTCCTTGGGCTGACCCTCCCGCAGGACCCCAGGCTTGGGACTTACTTTGGGGAAGAGGGCTGCCATTTCAGTCACGGCCACGTGTATCCTCTCTGAGCACGGAATGTAGCTGCAGAATGAAGCAACAGATCACTCAAAAGCAACAGCCTATTTCAGTGTGGGGCTGTCCAACGGGTTAGCTGCCTCTCTTCCAGCAGCACAGTCACAGTGAAGAGGCAGCAGGCCTTCCTCCCAATCACCCCCCTCAAAAGAGGGGCTCCCAGGGGCCTCGGGCCTCACAAGGAAACGGGGAGTCAGTGACGCAGGTGCATGTGCGCGCACATGTGTGTGTGTGTGTGTGTGTGCGCGCGCGCACGTGCATGCATCCACAGCCCACTGCTGGCACAGACACCGGGGCTCCTCAAGGACACAGGGTGTTCTTTATGTCTCGGCCTGTCTTGGCACGCTCAGCACGGCGCCTGCCTGGCACACAGCAATCGCTCCGGCAGTGAGTGGAGGGGAATGGGATGGTTAGCGGGGCTGCAGAGAGGTGTGTGCACCAGGCCAGCGCCCTGCTCTGCCCCCTGGCCGCCTACTCCTCCCAGGCCTCATCAGCTTGGCTCCTGATGCAGAATAAAGATGCTTGGACGAAAGGCCCCACAAGTCACAGGGACACAGGAACCTGAGAGTCATTTAGGCCAAATTTTATTTTCCAAAAGGATGCTCTGAGCCTTTGCAGGGGTCAGAGAGGCAGACTGTCTACAGAGTAAATGAACACGTACATGGAGAATACAAAAACACAAACATGGGCTCACACTCCCAAATTAACTTCATTCAAAACAAACAGGGGCAGCTGGGTGGCACAGTGGATAGAGCACCGGCCCTGAGTTCAAATCCGGCCTTGGACCAAACACTTGACACTTACTAGCTGTGTGACCCTGGGCAAGTCACTTAACTCCAATTGTCTCAAAAAACAAACAAACAAACAAACAAACAAAACCGACCTCAATCACTTCACAACATCTGCCTTTTACTAACACAACTGTCTGCGGATTCCTGGATACCTCAGGACAGCACTGCTGTCCCATCAGCTCCCAGGGGCCTGTATGGAGGGCCTGCTGTGAGTCCGGCCTGGGGGAGGCCCAGACTACTCCGGGGAAGCCCCCAGCCCACATCTTCTCTTCCGCTGACCACGCTGCTTCACCAAGGCCTCTCGAAGTCTCTGACATCCTAAGCTGGTGACAATGAGAAGAATTAAGAATTCTAATGGGGCTCAAAAATGTGTTTTTTCCCCATACAAATCCAGCTCTCAAGAAAATCTGCTTAGTAATGAAATACACAACTGATGTAGATTCTCTGTGAATAAAAAATCTGTGGCTGAAAAACCAAAAGGTCCAGTCACTGGGCCCTTCCAGGTCCAGCTATGAAGTGCTCTAGGACCTGGAGGTGCAGGGGAAGCCAGAGCCCAGCCCTTGCTCTCAGGAGGCACCCAACGGAGTGAAAGAGACCACTTGCCCACACCTACCACTGCCGCTCTGGGTCACCTCATCAGCTCCCATCTTTGCGGAGATTCTCAGATGGACCTCTCAGCTGTCTCCAGCTGGGCGTCCAGTAGACATGACAAACTCGACATGCCCCCCAACTGACCTCATTGTCCCCCACTCCACCACCTTCCCTGCCCTCCTCCCTCTCTCACCCCCCATGTCCAAGATGGTGCCAAGGCCTGGCGTTTCTCCTGCTCCCTTCTCTCTGTGACACGGACACTGCTCTGGTAAAAGTCTCAGACCCCCTACCTCCAGCCTCTCCCCTCTCCAGAACATTGGCTGCCCAACCAATCTTCCTAAAACACAAATCTGATCATGCCACCTTTCAATCACTTCTACAGGCTTCCTTTTGCCTCCAGAGTTAAGCAGAAAATCCTCTGGCTTTGAAAGCCCCTCCCCACTTCTTGCTCCTTACACCCTGCCATGCACTTGGTGACTCGGTGACAGCGGCCTCCTGGCTCTTCTTCACACCACACCCTGCATCTCTAGACTCCAGGCCTTTGCTGTGGCCCTCCTTCATGCCTGGAGCCCTCTCTCTCCTCCCCCGGCTCCTCTGTCTCAGATGGACTCCCCCCTTCACCGGTGCCTCTCTTGATCCCCCTTCCTGTGGCTGGCTCCTCTGCCTAGCGCTGGCTGCCGCGGGCTGTCCCTGCTCAGACCATGAGCTGCCTTTCTATCCTCACTGCTCAGCATGGCGCCTGGCATGCAGCAGGCCCTCGGTGCAAATCTGATGAGTGACAGACAAAAAAAGGTAAGTACAGGATAAACCAGAGAGAATCCTGAGCCTTGCGGGGGCTCAGGAAGTGGGGCACCCAGCCAGACCTGGAGGAGGCCAGGGCGGGCAGCCAGGCATGGCGGTGTCTTGTGGAGGGACAAGGGACCAGCGATCACTGATCACTGATCACTGAGGACATGGAGAGGAAGCTTGACAGGGTCTTCCCTTAGGTGTCTTCAACATCTGCCTCCCCACATTTTTTCTCTGTAAAGCACAAAAGCCAACGTCTTCATTTATTCTGTAGGATATCTTTCACTTTTCCACTTGATTACTGTAATAAATCTAACTTCAACAAAACGGCTTTGACTGAGGCTATCTGAAGCCTGAGAGGCCGTGTGGTGCACTGGAAGGCAACCTGGTGTTCTGGCCACCTCACCAAGACTAGATGTTAAGACGGTGCCAGCCTGCACTGGAGGAGGGTATTTCCTCACCTTGGGGAGGTCATGTGAAGTAGTGGACAGAGCCCTGGTCTTGGAGGATATGGATTAGAATTCTACCTCAGGGACTTACCAGCCCTGCAACCCTGGGCAAGTGACTTAACATCTGTCTGCCTCAGTTTCCTCATCTGTAAAACAAAGAGGTTGGGCTTCGTGGCCTCTCAGGTCTCTGCCGGCTCTAATCCCATGATCCCACTGGTTCCCTACATTGGCCTGTTTTATCCTGTAAATTCATTATGATGTGTATTTAAACTGAAATAAACAAACCAAATCCCCCACAACTCCCACCTTCCCTGAGACACTTTCACTGATCTTCTCCCTTTACAGCCCAATCCGACGTGCAGTTATCTGCCCTGCTGGTCACTCTGAAAGCTTGGGCAACCACGTGGCACACCAGGCACAGAACAAGCCCAGTCGCGCTACCCAGGAAAGGGGCTTTCACTGTCTTCTGCAAGAATTTCATCTAAAACCACAACAGTTTTGGGCCTCACATCTCAAACTGTTCACCTGGCCCCAGTCTCCATTTAGGGCCAGAAGGCCAGGCCACTCTCCCTGCCACAAGAAAAAGGGATTCTCCTCACAGCCTCTCTAGAGAATCCACTCCCTCCCAACACTTGGAGGCAGTTCTTAAAGGTGGGAGGGGGTATTTGTGTCCACGAGACACTGAGAACCTGCTCTAATGCCTTCCATGCCTCATGTGGGACCTGTGTTCAGCTCTGGGACAGGAGGGAACACAGAGAGACAGAGACATGGGGGAAAGAGAGAGAGAGAGACACAGAGAGAGGAAGAGAGAGAGAGACAGAGAGAGAAGGAGAGAGACATGGGGGGAAGAGAGATAGAGATAGAGAGAGAGACTTAGAGGGGGAGACAGAGGCAGACAGAGGGGAAGAGACAGACAGAGAGGAATAAAGAGAGACAGAGAGAGACATAGGGGGAGAGAGAGACAGACTTAGAAGGAGAGACAGAGACTGACAGAGGGGAAGAGAGAAAGAGAGGGAGGAGAGAGAGAAAGATAGAGAGGGGGAGAGGGACAGACAGATGAAAGAGATACAGAGAGCACTACTACAGTTGATGGGTTCGAGGGACAGCACCTGTGCACCCCTTAATGCTCTACTCTGAGAAAATCAACATTAAGAAAGAGCAGTGAGGGAGGACAGGAGTGGGGTGGGGCATGCGCTGAAGGGGCACTCTGCAGGACCAGAGGGGGGGACAGCCCCTACAAGCAGGGAGGCCACCTCCCAGCCACGGGGCCCAGCCAGCCTCAGGCCCATCTCTTCCAGAGGGCCCCGCTGAGCTGAGCAGGGAGAATGCTGCCTTTGGTGGCCTGGCCTGGCCACTCACTGCCTAGGTGACCCAAGGCAAGAGGTTTAACCCCACAGAGCCTCTGCTGCCTCATCTGTACAAGCTCATGCACCTGCATGTGGATTAAATAAATGCCTTGTTCACTCAGCAAAGGGCGCCAAGACCAGGAGACTTCAAGACAAGCTGGGCCCTGGAGCTCAAGGAACTGCATCTTTAAGAGCTGCTTCCCTGCACCGTCCCCCTCGATTTCAGGAAGATTCACGGCTGTTTTTCTGCTTCAGTTCTCCCGCCCATTTTACTTTCCCCTGAGCCAAAGACAGAGGACAGACATAGGACAAGAGCTGTCCTGCACTGTCTGGAGACACAAAGGGACACCAGGAAGACACGTCTGTTTTTAGCAAACACAAGAGAAAACAAGAAAAATAGGCAGATTCCTGTTTCAGAACCAAATATGGTAGCTCGTGAACTGGGAATAACAAGGGAAAAGAAAGGCAATGTTTTCCTGAGAGAGAGAAGTGCACTAACTTACCCTGACACTGTGCTTTAAGCCTTCCTGAGCCCCTGGAGGGTCATGCTGAGAACAAAGTCACCTTCCGTCAATGAAGGAGGCTAAAAACCCGGGCTGTGCAAAGTGATGAAACCCCCGCAGCATCCCTGCGAACGGCTGCTACTCTAGCGTATCTCACGGGGCAAAGCCACTAAGAAGCCTTCATGCAGCATGGAGGGCAGCGGGCCGGAGGAAACTGGCGAGGGCCCTGTGGCCGAGCGATGACCTCGGCTCCGGGCCTCCGAGGCGGCCAGTTACAGACGGCTCATAGGACATGACCCCTGCAGAGTCACAGAGGCACAGAAGCCACATGAGATCAGAAATGGAGCGAGAAGGCCAAGAGGCATTGGGGGGGGGCTGCCCCTCAGGGGGAACACTTTGCTGTGGGAGGGGGAGGGTGGCCTGCTTTGTTTCTGAATTCTGAACTTGGCTTTCCCAAGCTCAGCAGGAGAACAGGCTGCCAGACAAAGTGCCCAGAGGGCTGGGCCAGGCCTGGGATTAGCAAGAGTTGAGACCAAAGCCAGCCCCAGGAATGTTCTGGGGCAAATGGCATCACCTGTGCCAGCCTCAGTTTCCTCTTCTGTGAAGTGGGTTAAGAATAGCCCCTATTTCACAGGGTTATTGTAAGGATCAAATGAGATAATGTTTGTGAAGTGTTTTGCAGACCTTCCAGCAACATGTAAATGTGAGCTGTCACTATTCTTATTAAAGAATCCCACTTTTCAGTACCTTTGACAAGGCTGGCTCCAGAAAGAGGCCAAACTAAATGCCCTCAATCCCACAAGTGACCCCGCACGCCAGGAGGCCAGCTGCCAACAGAGCCGGAGCAAGCGTCTGTCTCAGGGGCTTCCTTTGGGCAAAGGATCATCTTTCACTCAGGATTAACTTGTTTGGGGCAAGAAAAATGCCCCCAGAGGACGACGGCCCCTCAGCGCCAACATGGCTTGGCACAGCAGAGCGGGAGACCCAGAGCCGGCGCGGGAGGCGCCTGGAAGAACGCACAGCAAGGCTACACTGCCTTCAGGTTAAGAGCAAAGGGCACCGGGATCTACAGGGATGATACTGCCACCAACCACTGACCCTAACACCACCACCGACCACTGACCCTAACACCACCACCGACCACTGACCCTAACACCACCACCAACCACTGACCCTAACACCCACCACCGACCTTTACATCACCACCGCTACTACTACCACTACGACCTAATGCTATAAATAGCATTTACACAGTGTTCTAAAGTTCACAAATATGACCTCATTTCATCGTCACAGAAACTCTGAGAGATGAGTGCTCTTATCCCCATTTTACAGATGGCGAACTGAAAGACTTGAGCAGGGTCACACAACAGTAGTGTCAGGGGCTGGATCGGAACTCAGGTCTTCCTGATTCCAAGCAGGAGGATACCTATGACACCACAGACTGCACTACCACTCTCAGCTGGCCATTTCTAAAATGTAAATAAATGTCACAATTTCACAGGCTCTGAGAATCTCAAAACTGGAAGGGTCCAAGAGGGCCGCTAGCTCGGCAACCCAGCCAGCACCGCCTGGCCTCTGCAAGGAGCCGTCCAGGGAGGGGGGGCTCACCCCACCCTGGCCGCCTGTCCTGAGATCAGGTGGCGCCAGCCTCTCCACAGCTTCCACCCTGTGCTCCTAGTGCCCCCCCTCCTGGGCCCCCTGGAGCCCAAAGAAACAAGTCTCCAGCATCTTCTTCCCACACAACCCTTCTTCAAACAGCCGGCCACAGCCATGAAAATGTCACATTTTAATCGACAGACTAATTGCTGAGACGCCTCTGAAATGCTGCCAACAGAAACAGTTGCCTCTCTTCCAGTCCCAGCCACCCCATGGCGTCCTGCAGGAAGGTTCTGGATCCCGACACCTCAGTTTACCTGTCGTGCTTATTTTCTTGGGCTGCTCGCAAGAGTTCCTGGATGTTCTTGGTGATCTGTTCAGTTTTCCGAATGACGTCCTCTGTGCTCGGAAGGGTAGAACTTGACACGCCGTGGGGGTCTCCCACCTCAGGGATGGCTCCCTCCCCGGGCCAGACGATGCTCCGCTGTCTTGCCTTTCTGCCTGACCTAGGAAGGGAAGAAGCACACAAGGCTGAGGAGTGAGGGGCATGCTTACTCTCCTATTCTGGCTCACTCGGGGGAGTCCGGGGGCACGGCACCAAACCTTGGCCTCTCTCTTCATCGTGAGGCAGCTATGGCTCACACGGAACCTTTCTGGTCCACCTCAGGGTTGGACATGATTATGGAGGCAACATGGCACCAGGATTGGGAGTCAGAGGACGTGGGTCGGAATCTGGCTCTCCACTTGCCATCTCTACAACCTTAAGCAAGTCACTTTATCCTAGGCCCATTTCTGGGATACTTCTCAATAACCTCTAAAGTCGTCTCCCACTCTAGAGCCTCAGATTTTAGATTTCTTTCCACAGAAAAGGTAAAATGAGAAAGACTGATAACAGTGACAGGCAGGGGATTCTCACTATTCCATGGCTACAAGTGGAGAACAAGAACGGAAATTGCACGTTCACTTTAGCGTGAACAAGATCACTGTGGAAATTCACGTAGAAATACTGCTGACAGAGACAAACAGGAAGAGATAGAGAGAGGGTAGGGAGAGTGAAGAAGGATGGAAAGGGAGAGGAGAGAAAGGGAGGGAGGGGAGAGAGACAGAGAGAGAGAAAAACAGAGAGAAAGAGAGAGAGAGAGAGAGAGAGAGAGAGAGAGAGAGAGAAGAGAGAGAGAGAGGGAGGGAGGGAGGAGTTGGGGGGTGGAGGGAAGGAGGGATGGAGGGATGGACAGATGGACAGACAGACAGACGGGCAGACAGGCTTCTCTGGCTCCACCATGAGACACGATCCCACCTAGGCCTCAGAATTTGATTCAGCTGATGTGTTAGCACGCCAGCCGTGCCTGCCTAAAGCAGCAGGGATGCCCCGAGCCAGGCTCTCCCCAACCCTGCACGTGGGCCCCCCCATACCCTGTGTCGTCCAGCTCGGAGTCAGGGGTGGTGTTGTCATAGTCGCTCTCTGGCATGCTGTTCTGTTTCTCTAACTTGGAAGCCTAAAACAAACAGAAAAGGCGCCTGTTACCAAAAGCCATGACGCCCTCCAGAGCGACCTCCTTCAGGCATTTGAGAACTTGGCTTTGCTTCCGTGTGACTGACGATTGGAGCCAACTCTCTACGGGAAATACAAGCGGCAGGACGAGGGGTCCACGCTTCTCTCCCGATGCCTAAATTTACCCCCAAAGAGCATCAGTTACTCTAGCCTGGCAAGCATGGAGCTATCAGAGGGGGAGAAGCCAAGAGCTCGCTCCCCCTTGGCAGAAAGGTCCACACAAGCCTCCCTAATAAGACCATGTGGGGCTCTAGGACAATCCAATTGACTGACAAGACAGATCCCAATTTGGACATCTGTGGAAGGAGGTGGAAGGACCTTAGGGAGCATCTTGTATGCCTGCTCGTTTTAATGGATGAGCTAACAGAGGCCCACAGAGCTTAAGAGGCTCACCCAACGTCACACAGCTAATGTGTGGCTTCAACTTCAGTCCCCTGGAGGCCCCTGGGCCTGACAGCAAGAATGCTGGAGCCGAAGTCTAACCTTTGTGAGCCTCAGTTTTCTCATCCATAAAAAGAGACAATAACACATGCCCTGGCCTGCTGGGTTGCTGTGAGCAGAGGGCTGCACAATCCCCAAGGTGCCACATAAATGGAGTTTCTGTTAGGACTATGTCTGCCAAACCTATGAACTATTCTGGGACAAAACCAAAAGTCTTCTCCCTGCTCAAGACATCTTAAGATAAGAGCTTTCCTTTGCAGCTGCTTTTTCAGCCACAGAGGAGAACCCAATGCTTCTGTAGTCACGAGACTGATTCTAGGTGACTAGAGAGGCCAGGAGATTTTACTGGGGTGAGGCCGCTCCAAAGAGTGTGACAAAGATCCTTCAGACAATTTCCAAAGGGGAATTCCAAAAAGGTTTTGAGCACAGTAGATGCCTACTTTGGAAGGGACTACGTTCACTTGGCTAGCCAGATTCTGCCATGTTAATTCTTAAGAAGAAATGAAATGTATTGGTTTTACAGTTCTACCTTGTCTGGAGGGAAAAGGGCTTATAGTTATTTAGACTATAAATCGATGCCTAGAGATTATTCTGGGAATTCCAATTTGAAATTAAGCAGAGATGCCCAAGTTTTTACTAGAAAAACAGGTGGTCAGGCACTGTCAATGATGCAGAGACAAAGTCCTGTTCCCAAAAAGTTATGACCTACAGGGACAGGATAGAAGAGAAGCAAAGTTTGTCATCATCTAATAGGAAGAATAGTTGATAATTATAATTTAACAAAATGCTCAATGGAAATAGCAGTGTCAGGCTTTCAGCCCTTCACTTCTGCAGTTGGCCGGATTTCTTATTAATCAGTGCTGCTCAGCATTTCAAACCTGACAGACAGGTTGCTGATTACTGTGGGTGTGAAAAAGTGATCGGCCCACCTAACCGACCTGTTCTGCCTGTGGTTCTTTTTCACGTCTCCTCTAGTCTGGCTGCAGCCCCCCACAGGTACCCTGTCTTCTGCTGGCTACGCTATCCCAAGCTGTAGGCGCCCCCAAATCAACCCAAGCCTCACATATAAATCTATTCCAATGCAACTCAAAAATGATTCCTTAACAGGGAGTGGCTACTTAGATAAGAGAGTCTTAAATACCAAGTTCTAAAAAATGTAGCATAACTGTCAAAGTAAACATCTTTTTGGACATCTTCCTTTAGCAAGAATGATCATGCTGACCTTGTAGGCTCAACAATTACCAGAGCAGAAGTCCTGCTTTATGACGATTTGGGCAAGCAAACAGCTGCCCATCAGAAACTGAGTCTATGATCGATGAAATACAGGAGCCCAACCCAATGTGTTTTCCTCAAAGAATTCAGATTAAAAAAAAAAAGGAATAACTCTTTTGACTAGCTTTCCAAAGTTCTAATGGCCTTATGCTAATTTTCAATCTCTACTCCATTCAAAACCATACTCCATAAATGGAATGCAAGCAAAAGGGATTTAAATTCTATTCCTGGGTTTGCTCCAGTGAGATATGTCTACTCAAATAACACTGGAAATGGGATTAAATTGAAAATATTATGGGATCAGTTCCATCTCCTTCCTATGGAGAGCTCAAGGGAGGGGGTGCCTGCACACAGATCCATCCACCTTCTCCAAGGGGCCCCTCCCCTAGGAACCCGATCCTTCAGCACTAGGGATGCCAAATTCCTTTACCTCCCTTGGTAGGAAGGACAATAGGCAAACATGTGCTCAGATTATTCAGCATTTCATTGTATGAACAATTATCACAAGCATGCAGAGCCAAGATCGATTGGTTAAAAGTGTTGCTTTTCCAAAGCTGTTAATAGAAAAGTGACCTGGTAGCTGGTGCTGGTTCAGTTCATGAACTAGAGTCTTGTTTTTTCTGCACCCAGAGTCCATCAGACTGTCAGAACCCTGGGTGTTAGCTGGGTTCTTTAATGGCCTAACTTTCCATCTTAGGAACTAACACGGGCTCTGCCTGGGCTCTTCTCCCTAGAATGGGCACCCCCTCCCCACCCTCTCTGGAGCAGGGGGTCTTCAGGAGCTGCTGGGCCAAAAGCACACAAGCCCAGTGGCCAACTTCGCAGCAATGAGAACCCCGGGCCCCACCTGGGCCCCCAAGGGCTTCACTACTGATGATACCGCACCTCTAGACTAGCCTTGGCGAGTTCACAAGCAGAGACACTTACAGGATGGCACTGGCCCACACTAGGTTTCTCTTTACAGGTTCCCCCCTCTTCCGAAATGATTACACCAATCACACAGCAGCTTTCATGACACTTCACCCACCATCGCCACCCAAGAGAAGCTGGGCCTCGGTTTCTGGGTTTCTTTAAGGCTGCCAAATGAAGGATGGGGAGATGGCCAGTATGGCTTGAGGGCCCGGCCAGACTACGTGGTCCGTAGTGGCTGTCTCTGAGGAGCTCACCCCCTGGCCTGGGGCCTTGGGAACATCACTGTCTATCACACGGACTTGTAGCCAGTTATTTTCTGCTCTTGGTGCCTGTGACCGCCCTGAACATTGATGATCGCCAAGGGCAAGGCTGCATCAAACGCTTCCTCCCTGGTTGATCACTGCAAGGTGCTGTTGTCTAGAATCCTTGACAATGGATCTTAACAAGCTGGATTCAACCTAGTGCCCCAAGTGACACAGACCTCCCGGTAGCTCCTAACACCCCACTTGTGAACACAGAAGGCGCAGCTCCCTCCCACCAAACGGGAGGTCCAAACTCTACTCAACGCTCGTCCAGACCAACTATTTTCTTTTGACTTGTAGTCCCAAGTTTTAAAATGGGCTCTACAAGAAGAGATCATTAACCAGCAGCCAGCTAATATCCTCTTGATTATTCTGGAAAGGCAGTGATGCTGCAGAATCAGTGACTGAGGACGACCTAGGCATTGTGTTAAGGGCCAAATGGGATCAGCCACGTGAAGTTAGAGAGTGAGGCAGAGTCTCTGTGGGTCTGCTGGCGGAGGTGCGCGCTGTGAGAAGTCAGAAGGGCAGGGCAGCTACATGCAGGGAGGGAGGGAGGTTAGCAGAGGGAGAGGAGGGGGCCGCAGCACCAAGCTCCCCGGCCATGGCCAGTGCACTGTCCTCCAGGGAACAGACCAAGTCAGAAGGTACTTAACCCTTCGTGCGCTTTCATCCCTTGACCAGGAAAGTGTGGAGGGGAAGGAAGGCAGAGATGAAGAGGAGGTCACGAACGCACTCCTCCCGATCTAAAAGGGGAGAGAGAAACACACTCGGAAAACAAACAAACAAATATGGGATAAAAATCACCCATCAAAACAGACCTGCTGAGCTCCAGCAGAGGGCTACTGTGTAGAGGAAGAAGACTGCCCCAAATGGTCTGGGACATGACACCAGATCTGACCTCCGGCAACACACAAGCGGTTGCTATGACAATCCAATGATGCGAATCCTTCTTAAATCCCACAGTGAAATGCCAGTTTTTAGCAAAACAATCCACAGAAGACTGTTTTAAGTAGGAAAAAATGTGGAATGAATGTATTTTGAGATTCAGTAATTGCAAACACAAACAACAAACAAACGGGCCCATTTCAGAACGAGGACTGCAAAGGCGATCATTACACCGAGACCTTAAAAACAAGAGATGACGTGAACTGGGGCTGAGCAGAGCCAGGAGAGCCCCGCACGCAGTAACGGTGACACCGCGTGACGACCAGCTCTGCTACATGCGGCTCCGCTCAGCCACACAGAGGCCTGAGACTCAAGATGGACAACGCGTCCCCATCCAGAGGACAGGGAGTCGGAATGCACAGCCAAGCACCCTACTTTCTCTCTCTCTGTTTTTTTCGTTCCCGTGGTTATTCCCTTCGGTTCTGATTCTTCTTTACAACATGACTAATGTGGAAATATGTTTAAAAAAATCCAAAATAAACTATATGGCATAAGAAATATTTACCCTTGGAGAAAAAAAATGAGAAATTACAGGAAAAAAAATCACTCTTTAGAGTATTCTTTTACAAAGGACATCAATGTGATATTCTGGTCTGGTCTCTTATTATTGATCTCCAAATTCCAACGCTGACATGCAAAAATCAATGGTATTAGTTAATAAAAGCTGCTCTTTCAAAAGCCCTTTCCTATCACTGACCCTAATCAATAGCTGGACTGACATAAAGGTGATCTAAATTCATAATGCCATGATCCTCTCCCATGAAATTAAATTCATAAAATTAAACACAAGCTCAGTGGAGATTTTTTAAAATAACCGGCCCACAGCTTAACTTCTCAGCAATGGACACACCTCATCTGCCCAAAATAAACCACTGGCATGATCCATCTGGCAGCCTTGGCTTTCTTATACCCTCTGTACAGTACGGTGTGGTACGGAATGGTATGGATCATCACACTCTATCATGGGAAGCCACAGCTCTGAGACAATGCAAACAGCTTCCCATGACCGGTACTGACGAGTGGCCATCTCCAAGTCTGCAGAGATCAGAGGATCGTGGATCGTGAGCCACAAGCTGCTCTGGAGGTCGGGTGTTACACTCTTGATGTGAGGTTTTCTTATGGGGCAGCCCCCAAGAAATACCATGTCGCCAAACCTTTGGCCGCGATCCTCAGGGCGTCTTATGACAAGGCTGCGGACACGGTGCCAGAGGACACGGCTCACTGACCTTTATGATACGTGCAGACTGGCTTTCACTCTCCTCATGTAAATTATGACCAAATACGCTTTCTCTAAAACCAAAAAGAAGCATGGAAGCCAGCCTGGTGGGCCCCACAGCCCCAAAAGGAGCCAGGCCAGCCTGCGTGAGCTGCGGTGCTCTCCTGCCATGGACCCTGTGCCCAATGACCTTTTCTGGAAGATGCCCAGGTGGGCCCCACAACCCCATAAGGAGCAAGGCCAGCCTGCGTGAGCTGCGGTGCTCTCTTGCCACAGACCCTGGGCCTGATGACCTTTTCTGGAAGACACCGGGAGTAGGAGAGGCTCTCTACCGCATGAGGTCATGGACCCCGCTAGGTCTGCCTCCAAGGCTCAGGTGCTGAACGAATACTTACCGGTCTGATTCCAACTATCTGTCCGTGCCCTGGCTAGCTGAACAAATACAGGTAAAGGAGGGGGAAAAGAAAGACCTGTGCACAAGCCAGAAGCCCAATGTTCACATGTTAAGAGAGATCCTTGGCAAGCTCCTCCAGCAGACACAGTGACCAGTGATCAACTGATGGAGCATTGGAGCTTGAGTGGGCAAAGAAGCATAGAATTAGGTGAGAAAACCAGTCGGGACACGCAGAGCAGTGAGCCCGAGGGCACTGTGGGCGCCCGTGGTCGGGGGTACTTACATGCGGGGGGAAAGGCTGCAGTCTGGCCACGCTCTCTTCTGGGTAGGCGACTTCCCCCAGGGGGAGGTAGGGTTTCTGACCAGATCCGGTCTCGTACATGGACATGGGTCTACTGCCCCGGGCAGATGGACGCCGCTTTAAGGAGGAAGGGCTGGAGGGGTCTGGGTACTCAGAGCCAGGCGGCACCTGACAGAGATGGGTGGTGGCCTGCCTCCTGAGGGTCGAATTCTCGCTCTGGAGGGTCAGAAGCTGAAAGAGAGGGGAGCAGTGGGACTCTGTTTGTCCGCGGCAAGCAGAAAGGCAAACACAGAACAGACAAGGACGAGTGATAGCCGGCTCTGACGGCCAGTGGGGCCAGGGGCTTTCTTCCACAATCAGGGCAACTTCATTAAGCAGTGCATATGGGCAGGTGGCCCGGGAGCTGGGGGGCCTGGCCTCCAGGGCAGCCATCCTGGGCTGCTGGGCCCTGCATGCTTTCATTTGTACCACCAAAAAGTCACTAGAACCTGACTTTTTTTTTTCCTTTGGTAACAAGCCATTATTAATTTGCAAGTGCCAAAATCAGAGCACAGATGCTGGAGGAGCAGCAGAATGAAAAATGGAGGTGCTTCGCAAAGCAAGACAGACAGTGAGGTCCAGCCGGTAGAAACGAAGATGAGCCGTTTTCCCAAAAGCCAACAAGAAATATTATGTGATCAGGTTTTTATTCCATAATATTCTTGATGATTCACACGACCTGGCCCTTTTCTTGGAATCAGACAACTCCAGTAAGAACGCTCTCTTGCCGGCAGGAAGAAAACCACAGACCCCTTGGAGACTTGGCCTCCTTCATGGAGGCGGGGAGGGGGAGGCACACAGGGCGCTCCATGGTATTGATGCTCCCCCGGGGGACGGATGACCTCTGAGCCAAGCCTGTCATGTGCAACCCAACCCTCCCTCGGCTTGGCTAGTGCCATGAACCTTGGGGAAACTGCCCCAAGGGCAGTTTCAGCCACAGCCCTTTCCCTCTGCCTGGCACCGTCCACAATCAGAGAAGCTTAGCTCATCCCAAGCATGGCCCCTCGCCTGCTTTCTGGGCAGGGCAGTCCACTGTGTGGACTCTGGGGAATTCAGGCTTAGGATTCGGCAGCAAAGAGCCGTACTACTCCTTAAACACAATGAACAAAGTCTGGCCTGCCCAGTTTCAAGTCCTAATCTTCCACGCCATCTTTATAAGCTGAGTGGGGTGTAATTTCAGACTTCTACTCCTAGACAGTGACTGTAAAACCTGCCCAGATTTCCCAGCACTGCCAAGGGTCATGGCCGCAAGAAAACATCCTTGCATCAGGAGGCCACTATAAGGAAACTCATCAATAGGAACACTCCTCCTCTTCCTCTTTAATTAACACCTTTTCCAAGTGACTACTAAGTGTGAAAGATCAGACACAAATCCCGCTACTCTGATAAATATGAAAATATGGAGGCAGCTTACAACTGTAGCTAGACCCTGAAAGAAAACTAAAAAACTCCAACTCCCTACTAAAAAAAGCAAAATTCAAAAATGCGGTGATATAATGGATTGCTAAAACAAATCTATTCTTTAAAACGAGTTTCTAAGAACTGACCCTCATGTTCCTTCCTCAACACCCCCTGGACCTACCCCACCACTGCTGGTATGCAGTGCACAAACAGCTGCAGTGAGGTGCATCCACTCGGAATCCACCAAGTAAAAGGCTTATCCCTGAGCACGTTCTGAGCACAAATAACTGATGGGAAGGGTTCACCGAGTCACCTGCTTGTGTCTCCACTCAAAACAGGTTTTCTTACTGCCAGAGAAATGATTCACCTAACACAGCCACACATTCTGGGCTCTGAACTCTGCAGACACTGACCCTCTACAAAGATGATGATTTCCATGGTTCAAAGATGAGCATTTCTGATTTCTGGGCCCCTCCCCATATTTAATTGACACGATGGACCTGGATAACCTTTAATGGTGTTCAACTTGTTAACTCTCAGATTTCATCACTGTTTCAAAAATTGTGCCAGAAAAAAAAAATCCGCTAGCTTAACAGGCCAAGATCTCAAGAAACTCTCTCGAATGGAAGGCACGCAATGAGTGAATGCTGGCTGGCAAATGGGTCTTTTGCCCTCCATATCTCCCATGGGAGCAGAAGACATAAAAGACTGGCAAATGAGGTCTTTTCTGGTAACATGTGCCAAATTTAGAATGAGCAAGCTGGACGTTGAAGGTCACCATAATGGCAGATGCAACACTTTTCCAGAAAAAGTCACCTTCCCCAACCAAAACCAGGTACCTATTGAGCCCACTTACCTGAAACCTTTCTGGCAGGACAGAGAACCATGGCAGCAAAGGAGAAGGGGGCAGACCACATCAGCTGGGCCCTGACAGGGGCACGGCCGCTCTCCCAAGAGAGTGCCCCAGCCCTGGGGCCTGTGGTCAGAGGCGGAGGGGTGCTGGCTTTGCGTAAGTCTCCTCCCCTCTTACCATGGCCACAGCTACGTCTCAGAACCCACAGGAGGGTTGGCATCTGCAGCCAAAGTGAAACAGCACTGAGAGAAGCTGCAGCCATAGCCCCACACACTGGACTACATCTTTCACTAGTAAACAAGGCTAAGAAAACCTCTGTGTTTAAAAGTACTCTCTCTTTTTTCGGGAAGGTTTCTGAGATCATGGCCCGAAAGGCATCAGTACCCAGGTAACAGGGACAACTGGGAGGTATTTAAAAGAAGCAGGGCCTACAGAGAGCCCCGTGATGGGCAGTCACCCTCCTGCAGGGCCCTTTGCAGAAGACACTTCTACCCCCAGGGACTATTTTCTGCAGGTTCTGACTCCTATACAATGGAATAATCAGGAACACTGTCGTGTATGGTTAAAAGACAGAGCATGATTAAAAAGACTTATAAAGACAGAGAAGAAATACTTCTGATCTTCTTCCTTTACAATATTTATTGTCTAGAATTAGTGAAAGCAACCAATGTAAGCTGAGTAAATTCTCATTCTCAAAAACGGGAATGACAGAAAGAATGCAAGGGTTGAGGCAAAGGGACTGAGTGTTTACACCGCACCTACTATGTGCCAGGCATTGTGCTGAGCACTTTACAGTCATTACCTCATTTGATCCTAACAACCCTGAAAGGAAGTGGCTGCTACTGTACCCACTTTACAGATGAGGAAACTGGAGCAGACAGAAGTGAAATGACTTGCCCAAGGTCACACGGCCAGTAAGTGTCCAAGGAGGAACTGGAGCTCAGGTCTTCCTGAGTCCTGGCCCAGAGCTGCATCCCCTGAGCCACCCAGCTGCCTAAGTTATGTGAACAGCACAATATTTATTAGAATACTAGATCCCTTACTTGGGAAGTCTCCACTGGGAGATCTCATAGCAAACCAATTTCACTCATCAATCCTTCTGAATACCACTTTAAGTATTTTGAAACATGTCCTTATTTCAGCTGCTGGCTTGCAGAAACTTAGCACTGTGCTGCAGGTTACCTGTACCCACCATTTACAAAGGACAGGACAGCTGACTTATGGTCCTTTGAGAATGGGGTACAGCACGGAACAGTGGAGACAGCCCTGGACTTTCAGTCAGACAATCTGTGCTGCATTCTTGCCCCTGAGACTGATGCCCTGTGTGACCCTGGGCAAGTCACTTCTCTCCTCTGCACCTCACTTTCCTCCTCCATAAAATGATCCAAATCAGGCCCCACAGATTTAGAAGGAAGGAGACCTTAGTCCACCTCTCAGGACGGAGCCCAGGTCACACTGCTACTAAGTACCCGAGGCAGGATTTGAACTCAGGTCTTCCTGGCTCCAGTCCAATGTTTTTCACATTGCTAGGAAGCAAGGTACTTTTGGAAGGACAAACTCTGCCTGATGACTAAAGTAGCATCTGCTGATCTGGACCTGTAAAGATTCATTCACTGACCCGCCATCCAGAAACAACTTTGTCACGATGACTGCTGAGTGACCTGTAAGGCATGAGACCAGCTGGATGCGTGGTTACTCGGAGCCACAACTTGTCTTCCCAGGACTCCCATGAAGGAGACCCTTCACGCCTGTGAGCCTTCTTGGGAACAATCCAGTATCTCGTCAGTTTGCTGAAGAGACTATGCGAAATCCAGTACTTCTCAACTGGTCTGTAAGGCTGCATTTGCTTTAGGAAGGAGGCAGTAAGTGCTAAGAAAAAATAACCCATCAAAGCTCTACAAATTCTTTGGGCCACTCTGGGAGGCAGTAGGACGCTGGGTTAGACATCAAGGAAGCCCTGGGTTCAAATCCTGGCACCACCACTTACTGCCCTTGCCTCCAGCTCAGTCACGGCACAGACTCTAAAGGCCTCTCCCGCGCTATAATCTGGCTGCTAATCCACTGTTTGGCTCACGGGGGTTCGGATCCTGCCCTATTTGTAGCATAAAGGGCAGCAGGGCGTAGTGGGCACTTGGGATCAGAAAGGTTCAACTCCTGCCTTGGACACTTAGCTGCATCCCCTGCTCCTATCTCTGCCTCAGTTTCCTCATCTGTAAAACAAGTTTGAATCTGGTGGCCCCAAAGGCGCTCATTCCACGACCCTGTGACGTGCGCCTCTGCACCAGGCCCGACGGCGGGCGTGCCTCTCGGGCCTCTTCCGGCCCCGGGGCCCCGGCGCTTGCCACCAGAAAGGCCTCTTGCGTCTATCAGGGTCGTTAGGACACTCCCCTCACACTCGGCGGATGCCGCGGAGCATCAGAGCAGCCTGGGCTTTGTGCGGTGTGTCGGTTACCTTTTTCTGCATCACTCTCAGCTCGTCGCTCAGGCTGTTATTCACCTTCATGAGCTGCTGGATCTTTGCCTCAGAAGCCACCAGAGCATTTTTGACGTCCATGAACTCTTGGATGGGGACTGGCCCGTCTGACAAGTCGGAATCCAGGCTCTAAAGATAAACCAGGAGGAGAAGAGTCAGCAGGGCAGAGAGCCCCGTGCGAGGTCCTGAGCGGACGGTCGCAGGCTCCGGGGAGCCACGGCAACGCGGCCTCCTCCTGGTGCTGCGCCCGGGCGCAAGAAAGGGGGCACATGAAGCTGAAGATGCCCCGGATGTCCTCCACCTCAGCCATGGCTGCCGGCAGACAGGAAGCAGGCACTTCTCACAGCTCCTGGTTCCTTGCCAACGGAACAGGTTCTGGACGAGTTCAGCTCTGAGTCTGGTAACCCAGGGCAAAAGCTGTCCGTCCAGCTGAGGCTCCGAGGGCCTAGGCCTGAGCCTGGCCAGGCCACATCTGTCTGTTCTGCATGGTTCCTCTCGGGGCCTCAGCCTCCTCCTCCGTAAACAAGAAAGGAGCAGGCTCCAGAGGCCAGGCTTCCCTGCCGGGTCTGTCCTGGAACTGTGACCCCATTTTTCACCAATTTGGGTTCATTACCTCTGAAGAGTCTGGAGGTACCAATGATGGAACACTTAGGGTTGGGTCAGGAGAGGCTGGGCTCATTTAATAACCAAGGAGCTCCCACAGGCACAGCTTTCTTTCCTTCCCCCAGGCCCATCGGCAGATAATGAACTTATTGGTAAAATGCTAAGAAGTGACATGTGTAAGGTGTTTTAAGGTGGGCCACGAGCTTTACAAACACTCTCTGAGGGGCAGTGAGGCAGCACAGCGGCTAGTGAACTGGCCGTAGAGTCAGGAGGAGCCGAGTTCAAATCTGGCCTCAAGACACTTACTAGCTACGTGACCCTGGGCAAGTCACTACCCAGACTACGTCCAAAAATAAAACCAAAAAAACCAAACACTCTGCTTGGAGCCTGACCGTGATTAACCCTCAGAGGGGAACACTCTTATTATCCACTCTCCCCATACTAGGCAGATTCTGAGGCAGGCTTTGACCCAGAACTCTGTAGCCCCCCTTGCCATGACTGAACCACTACAGCAGGCACATCAAACTCTCCCCAAAATTTTATGAACCAGATTAAAATGTAATCGGGGAATGGTGAACAAAATAAACAAAAGTACTACACGACACAGACAGCGTTCATTTGTGGTCTCTGCCTCTCTTGGAGTCTGGTCCCACAACCGTGGCCACAGGGACTGCCCTCCCGGTCAGCCCGCGCCCCTGGTCAGACCGCCGCCTGTGGCCCCAGGGGCTGCCCGCCCGGTCAGCCCGCGCCCCTCCCGGTCAGACCGCCGCCTGTGGTCGCAGGGGCCGCCCGCCCAGTCAGCTCACCTTCTGCCTGCTCGCTTTACTCGCTGTCGTCTCTAAGTCTGGGTCTTCGTCAGATGCGACGCTGTCATAGTCTGGCTGGTCATTGTCTTGACTCTCCAGGCTGGGCTGGCTGCCGATGGCTTTCAGGATGAGCTCCACGTTGTCTACCAGCAAAAACAAACAGAGTGATGTCAGCCGGAGAAACGAGGCCAGGTCGGACCCAGAAAAGCTGCTCTGCGGATCATGCCACTCAGCCGCGAGGCGCCCCAAGACCAAACAACAGAGCTCACTCGCTCTAGAAAAGCCGCGGCGATCAAAGACAAGGGAAGCACTGTGCCCGGGCTCTCCTGTCCTCAGCCACAGGAAGGCAAACTGTAGGCAGAGGGGACCTCAGAATCTGGGGACAAGGGGGTGTGAGGAAAGCCTCCCTGATCTCCCTCAGCAGCCTCCCATGGGGGCACGTCCCACCACGAAGAGAAGGTCACCATCCCCCACCCCAGGAAACACTTAATGACGGTTGGCTAAACCGAGTGAAGTGACAAGAAATTTAGGTCAGCCATCGCTTAATCAACCACGCCTGAGGCCTGCAAGTGGATGTTTTCTTTTCTTTCTTTTGTTTTTTGGTCACACAGCTAGTGTCAAGTGTTTGGTCTGAGGCCACATTTGAACTCGGGTCCTCCTGACTTCAGGGCTGGTGCTCTATCCACTGCGCCACCTAGCTGCCCCATGAGGCAAGTATAAGAAAGGAAGGTGCTGGTCTGCCAAGAACCCAGGAAGAAGATGTCTCCACATGTGTTGCCTCAGCACTGAGGAAGACAGAGGCAGTGATGGAGCATGCCAGCGTAGTCGAGAGCAGAACAAGACGAAGTCTCCGGGTTTGACTGGAGCCCAGTTGGCCCATCCCACAAAACCCTCTGGGGCCTGGCCCTGCCTCTGGGCTCAGCCAACAACATTCACATGAACCAGCTTCCTGAGCAGCTCGACAGTCGGCCGCTCGCTGGAAAGCTGCATCCCCCAGAAGTCTCATCAAACACTCGCCTACAAAACGGATCATCTCTGGGAAAACTGACAAAACCAAGCTCTTGAGCATCCGAGGCCAAGGACCAGACCCTGGACCCACAGATCCCTCAGCAAGGCTGAGGATAAAGCAAAGTTTCTGGCCCAGTCTGAGAGCCCACTGCAAAGGGCACGAAGGATAGACAGAATTAAAATTCCACAGCGGACGTCCACCCAGAAGGGACAGGGAACTGCTGAGGGCGAGATTCTGAAGAGCCAAGGGGGACCAAGGCTACTAAGAAACAGGGGCTGTCCACAGAGACTGATGGGAATGGAGGGAGGAAGCAGGCAAGCGTATGGGAGGACGGATGGAAGATGGTGGCCAGTCCCATACAAACAGGGGCCAGAACAAGCTGGGCCTGAGGAGGGAAGCAACACCTTGTCTGTGTTGGCAGGAAAAGGAAGGGCCCCAAGGGGCACCCGGGTCACGCCATCCTCATTTGCTTCGGCGTTCTCTGCACCAGAAAAGACAGAACAGAAATGACTGATTGAGAACTGATGTGAGATGATGAATGAGACGATGAGATGATGAAGGTGGCGAGAGAGTGCCGAGCTACCTTGGTTGTCAGTGAACACGGCTGAGGCCCTTTCATGTTTGCGAGATCACAGGAAGGCAGAGAAGGGCCTGCCCACCATGAGCCTGGATCCTCAAAGAAAGAAAGAGTGTGACCGAGTCCTGGGAAAAGTCAAGAACTAATCGCTAAGTGACGGCAAGCAAACGCCTAGAAAAGGAGGCAGCAACTGCAAAGCCTGCAGGACTTCCTCAAAAAGACAGCCCCACGCTAACCCCATTTCTCCTTCTGACAGGGTCACCACGCCAGTAAATGATAGCAATATGACCAAGTCTACTGAGACCTGGCCAAGCATTTGATGAAGCACTTCATACTATGCTCATGGAAAAGATAGACGTGTGTAGACTATACGTTAATACAACTGGATGAATCTGGGATCAGCCTCAGCCACTTTCATCATAAATTCCACACACACCAAATGTGCAGCTGGCAGAAAGCTGGGAGACATGGCTAACACAACAGATGCCACTAAAGTCAGTCCCTCCCTCACACCCTCGCCCTGGCAGCTGAGAGCTCTGGGCCGAATTTAATCCAATGGGATAAATGGAAAGGCCTGCTCAGACAGCAGCACCTCACAGACATCTGGGCCTTTAGCAGGAGTTAGCAGTGGGGTAGGGGATGGAGATCAAGCAGAGAACGGGATCTTGGACTGCACTGAGAGGCAGAGCCTGCAGGAATCCAGGAGGCGGCCGTCCCTCTGTCCCCCTCTGACCACCAGAGTTTAGAAAACCTAGTGCTCAGCTGAGTATCCAGGGCAGGGCAGTGAGGATGGTACACAGCCTTGAATGCAAGTCCTACAGGGACCAGCTGAAGGAGTGTCCAGCCTGGAGGAGACCAGAGAGAACAGGACGGCTGGCTGCAAAGGCTTCAGAGGCTGGTGTGTGGAAAAGGGAGCAGATGGGTCCTGCGGCCCAAGGGACAAAACCAGGATGGGAGGAAGCCAGGAAAAAGTAAACTGAGATGAGATGCTAGAAAAGACTTCCCAAGACTTAAGAGCTTCCCCTCAAAGCAGACGGGCTGCCTAAGGAGCCCATGGGTTCTCATCTCGAGGGGCGTCTTTCAGAAGAGGCGACGGCTGCCCCTTTCGATCCCTACATCTGGCAATTCTGTGAAGGCACAGGACAGCTGGATCATGCCCAGCACTCTTTCACCCTCAGATACAATAATCCTCACAATGCCAGGATCTCTGGATTTGAAAGACTATCTCTTAACCGTCTGAAACTGAGTCTCGTACTTCTGTAATGGACTCCTAAAAACGAACAATGGTGACCAGAGACAATTTCAGATCTCTGTTTTTGTTTCCCTCTTTAACCAAATTCAAGTTACACTCTTGGGCTAACAGTAAATGTCATCTTTGAAAAGAAAGCTGCAGGTAACTCAGGATCTAAGAAGACAAATCTCAGCAGCAGAAATTACTGTGAAGGGAGCTGGGTCAATCCTGGAGGGCTTTTCCATAATGCTGTGATGTCTGTCAACAGTAAAATCCCCAGGACTGTGGGAAACGGCTACGCACGGTCTTGCTGATGGGTGGCTGCTTCTGGCACGTGTGCCTTAAACTCTACCCTGGCCGCTGCCAGGGTGGATCAGGGAGAGATGGGGACAAGGTAAGCAGACTAGAAGGGAACGCATGGCAAGGCGGGAGGCTTTGTCCGTCACCTTTCGAACCGCTGCTTGGGTTCCCCTGCTGTCTCCTCTTGGCGTCACTCAGGATGTCTATGACCAGTGTAGCAAACTCATGAGCGTTAAACCGGGCTAATTTCTGCCTGCCCTGAAGAACAAAAAAGGATGAAAAGTATTTCCAGCTGTTTCAAAGGCTCATACGTAACTTCTTATTTGTCAGGCCACTGTCTGTGTGGTCTGAGAGATGGCTCTGAAGCCCTAGCTCAGGCCTCCCGGGTGCTGGGTGTGGGCCCTCCCTCCATCAATGCAGAGGACAACCTAGCAGGCAGGTCCAGGAGTTCTGGTGACCAAGGTCTCCACTGTCTGGGGATCAGCCTCTCCCCCCGATGCATACTGGCCCATCCTCCAGGCCTTGCCTGTTTGATAAGAGCCCCCCCAGACACAGCTTTCCAGAACCCAGAGACATGGCGATGTAAGGGAGGCCTTCAGAGAGGTCAGACAGATTCAAGCACAATGAACCACAGCCAGAATAGCACCCGACAGTGTCCTTCCTCCCAGGTTCACAGATATCTATACAGATTTCACAAGACTAGTCACTCTTACACTGCCCACTGACTTTTGTGTGCAAAATCAAACGACACTATTTAATATGTTCTTTTTAATACTAAGCCACAGTTTAATCAAAACCCATGATGAAAAACTGATCTGAATTTAAATTAATTTTTGAGGAAACAGGAAGGGGCTGGTTATAAAATGTCAGCGCGAGCTTCGAGGGCGCTGACCGTAAGGACCTGCCTGCTCATTCATGCCTATTACCAATCAGAAGGCCCCGCGCCCAGACCCCGACTACGACACAGCGCGGGTCAGGAAAGAATGTCCGCAGCATTTACTTGCCTGGTTTCTTGTCGAAGAATACTCCGGATTCACTGGAAGGAAGGGGACGGCTGTTGTTTCAGTCACCAAAGTGCTATGGTTCTGGGTCGCAAGCCACACTAGCGAGGGAGAAGAAAAGAGCCGGAGATGGTGGCTCATTACAACGTCACGCCGGGGCTTCTCTGCTCCCCCCCGGGGTCCGTGGACTCGGGCTCTTGTCTAACACGCTGCTGACTGCACTTCAACCTAACGGACTTCCTCTGTGCTCCTGAGCATTCTGCTTTACACGCTAAAAAGCCTCATTCTGAGGAGGAAGGGGTGCGCATGCGCCCCCACACTGGAGAATGGGCAGAGCTTCTGCATCACACATGCGACTGGGAAATACCTCTGTCAGGTCAGTCTAGTCAAAGTGAAATGTGACTCTGGTAACGGAGCTCCCTGGAAAGTAACACTCCCAAAGAAAAATCACACAAGTACCACATTTAGGTAACAAGGGCTTAAGGTCCCTTCCAACCAACAGCTGAGGGGAAAACAGCCCACTTTGTCCGGTCTAAGTGAGTCACCTGCATCAGTTTCTCGTCTGTCAACTTCATCATACACGTCCATGGCGAGCTCCTCAAACAAGTGGTTACTTAGCTGAAACAAAAATAAGAATTTGTTGTATCTGTCACTCACAGGATGCATACTCCTCATCAACACAGAAAGGAGTGAATGACTGTTCTTGATAAAATTTAAAATGGCACATAGTAAATGCCCTTCATCCACCCACCCATCCATTCATCCACCCACTCACCCATCTATCTATCCACCCATCCACAGATCCGCCTATCCACACATCTATCCATCTACCCACTCACCCACCCATCCACCCACCCACCCATTCACACATCCATCCATCCATCCATCCATCCATCCATCCATCCATCCATCCATCCATCCATCCACTCACCCACCCATCTACCCATCCATCCACACATCCATCCATCCATCCACCCATCCACACATCCATCCATCCATCCACCCACTCACCCACCCATTCACACATCTATCCGTCCATCCATCCATCCACTCACCCACCCATCTACCCATCCATCCACACATCCATCCATCCATCCATCCACCCATCCACACATCCATCCATCCATCCATCCATCCACTCACCCACCCATCCATCCATCCATCCATCCATCCACCCCCCTCCCCCATCCATCCATCCACAGGACCTCACTGGGCAGTCTGGCACAGTGGGTCTCTCATTCCCTCAATCCTGGACCCTCTAACTCTCCTAATATGACCCAAGACTTTCCTGGCTGCTGTATCGTATCGCTACCATCTTACAGGGTGATAGCCATTATCAAGACACTTGTATCTTTCTCCGTCAAGTCTCTTTAGCTCTGACCTCATTCTCCATTTTAGCTTTGGGAAGTTGTTTTGAATTTAAGTTTATCCATATTCAATCTGCTAGTGCTGAACCACGTCCTAAGTGGTCTGGTCTGGGGAGATGGTGTCAGCCTCGGAGCCTGCTCCTTCTGTCTGCCGACTCTGGGAAGCATGCACCTACGCCTCTGTCAGAGCCACTCACGAGCATGCGAGACAGCCCCAGGTCCAGCAGCGACCCCTCCCTGGGGACATGCCACCACATCACTTGTGACACTGGGTCTGGTCATTTAAGCAGCTGCCCAGGCCATGGTGGAGTTCCACCTCTCCTGGTATTTGGCATCTGCTACGAGCCTCGCACTACCCTTTATTAATAGGATATGGAGATACTCACAGATTGAAGTTTCTTCTTAGCAGCTTTTGCTAATTCAGACAAATCCAGGCTGCTAAGAAAATTCACAAAATTAATACAAATTTCAATATGAGAAACAATTAAGAAAGCCATTTTCACAAGCTCTGTAAAAGTTTTAATTAACCTTCCAAGTTTCCAACATTATACCTAATTATAACACAATTCAAAGGGCTACTATAACACTACCAACACAATCATATTAAGTTAATTATAACCCTGGGATAAAATTGTGACAGCAAACAAAGGAAGCTACAGGATATCCCAGCAGAGCTCAGTGGTGAATTCTGAACAGAATCAGTTGGTTACATTAATTCTTTCCTTCCTGAAATGTTAAATGCTGGGAATATCTTATGGCCAAAATCCTCCTATGAATTAAAAGACAAAACAGATTACTCCCAAGCTTATAGCTCTGGGGGAGAAGTTATGGTTTGTGAAGTAAAAAGCACAATCTGCTTATATTGGGGAGTGAAGGGGTTGGCTCTTTGCAAAGAACCCTGTGTGACGGCTCTGGGAATTCTCCCTCAGAAACTGGAGGGATCTGGGGGCTAAAGAAGGGCCTAGAGAAGGTCCTTTAATTGAGAAACAGGCCGAGAAGCAAAAAGACCCTCCTTCTAGGAGGAGAGACACAGAGTCTGATCAACTGGTTAAAATAATGATGGTAATTCAGGAGAGCTGTTTCGGTTCGTTTTTTTGCTGTTGTTGTTGTTGTTTTAAGTAAATCCATTACATATTTTTTGCAAACTTGCATTTTATAAATAACTAAAATCTACAGTGGTTTACTTACAGCTGTCTTATTTCCAATTGCAAAGCCATAAAAGAAAAAAATGTATGGACTTTGTTATGATGTATTATTCACAATGCCACGAGACACTTAACATGAGTGATATGTAAAATGGATTTTAGAATGCAGGCGATCCTACCTGTCTGCCATCTGAGGTATAATAAAGTGCTGTCCGTTTTGGTGATCTGAAATAGAAACCAACCTAAGGTTTGTTTTTATGCCTTGAAAACACTGTAAAAGTTCTCTGGACTTCATGTCAATTCACATTTTCCAACTCCTCTTTGTTTCTCCCCTTATGTTGTCAGGCTGTGATTTCAGATTTCTGAAGGTCTGCTCAGCAGCCACTGAGCCGTATTACTCAGGCAGGGCCTCTGGGGACAACCACGGCCCAGATAATGGGGCAGAATGGGCCAGGAGCCCACCTCCTCCGCTGACCCTTACATCTTAGTCCTTCCCAACATGGTGGTCTGCAGCCATGGAACGGGAATTTGGAAAAGGTGACTTGGTTTGGGGTAAGGACTGCTCCCATGCTATTGACTCTGCCGGGCTGCATCACAATTGAGGACTACCTCTGAATTAATCAAATGGCCCAGAAATCTCCTAAAAGCAGGACTGGGAAGGAAGCCGTTCTTGCTCTGAGAAGGACCTTCCACAGTCTAGACTTTCCTACTGACAGCCCAACTTGAGCTTTTTAAATGGTGCTCTGGCCTAGGGTCAAATGCCTTCCTATGTGCGAGTAAACTGTCAATATGTTTGCTGCTCAACACTGTTCTCTGGGTTTCTATGATGCAAAATGAACAAAAGGGAATTTTTGGCATGAGCAAAGGCCAGAAATATCATGCTTCTACCCAGATAATTCCTGTTGGCAAATACTACCTTGGAATTATATTACAAACACGAACCAGGAAAAACTGGAGGAAAGAACGTATACCATTTTAGTAAATGAAAAGGCCCATCTTGGATCACCAAGGTCTGGCTGGCACACTAGTTCTGTTTCTAGGACATTATCTCTGGGGATAACCCCCCTCCCACCTCCATAACTGAGAAACATCTGTGATCAGAAGGCTGACTTTTCCCATTTCTTTTCAATAACCAAACCCAGACACAAGATCCACTAAGCATGGCAAGAAGTTCCCAATTATGGTATGGCTACCCTACTCCTGGCTATGCCGCAGGTCTCCGACTCCTCTCTAATATTCCACCCTCCGGACAAAATGGAGAGAGGTGCAAATCAAAGTGTTCTGGCCTCATACCACCTTCATCCTATAAAGGACCAGCAGGCGGTTCTCCATAATGTCACCTAAGAACCTTCCTGTGCAAAGCTCCTTAACGTGACCCAAGCTGGCCTCGGCCTGTCGCTCCCAATGATCCAGGAGCTGCTGACCGACCAGGCTCACGGACGCAGGGAAGCTGCAGGCCTGCTCACCTGGCCTCCTGCCACACAGGTAGAAGGCGAGTCTGTCTGTGAGTTCATACTGCACCTCGACCAGACGTTCTGCCAGCTCTCGGTGCCCTCCTTGTCTGCCAAGAGAACACAAAGCAACGTCTGTGTCACGCACGGCTCGCTGGCTTAAAATACAAAAGGACAAAGACGCTTCTGAGGACACCTCCGAAGTCTGACCAGAACTGCCAGTCTAGAACAATCCGCCTCCTTCCATCAGGGGAACGTCCTCCAGTTACAGCCGCCTTTATAATCGCAGGACAGCACTAAATACAGACCCATCCCTTTTCACTTGCAAAACAGGTATCTGGCAGAGAATTCGATCTGATTCAACCACCAGCATTTCTGAATCATCTACAATCTACAATCCTAGCTGCTGAGGATGAAAAAACCGAACCGAGGGCAGCCAGGTGGCGCAGCGGATAGAGCACCAGCCCTGCAATCAGGAGGACCTGAGGTCAAACCCAGCCTCAGACACATCACACTCACTAGCTGTGTGACCCTGGGCAAGTCACTTAACCCCAACTGCCTCCCCAAAAAGCAAGGAAAAAAAAAAAGACCCAACCAACCAAACGTGTTTCCATTCTGCCAGAGGCATGGACATGAGAGCAGTAGTCTGAGGAAGAGCCCGTGGCCCAAATGGACCGGAAAACAGAGGCTATAAAGAGGCGCGACACTCAGAACCAGCATTTCTAGAGGCTTTAAGGTTTGCAAAGGTGCCTCACAACAATCCTAAAGAGAAATGCTATTACGGACGCCGGCTCTGAACCTGGGTCTTCCTGACCCCACGTACAGCACCAACCAGCTGCCTCAATGGCTGGGAGGCAGACTGTACAAGGCCTTCCAGGCCAGGCGAAGAGGGTTTTCTTTGTTCTAGAGGCAACAGAAAGCCATCGAAGGCTTCTGAGCAGGAGAATGGCACGGTTAGGCACGTCATTCCAGATTTTTCTAGGGAACTGTGTGGACTAGCAAGGAGGGAAGCCAGAAGCAGCAGGGAAATGACTTAGGAAGCTGTGCCAATGGTCTGAGTGCGAGCCGCTGAGGGCCTGAGCCGGAGCGGGGGCAAGGAGTTGGGAGTGAGATGCCCCAGAGGCAGCACTGAGAACGCCTGCCCAGCGACAGGCTGGGAGAGCTCGGGGGGGGGAGGGGGGGAAGAGCGGATCCACCGCAGGCATCTTCTTCTCGACCAGCCGATGTGACCCCCACAGAGAGACGTCCGGCAGGCAGCCGGTGAGCTGAGAGGCCGCTTCAGCAGAGCCTGAGGCTGGACCTCCAGAACCGGGAGTCCCCCGTGCAAGGGTGAGGTCGACGGGGGGGGATGGTAGAGGAGACGGCCTCGGATGGAGCTCTGGGGGATGCCCCCACTCAGTGAGGAGGAAAAGGACGACGACAGTGCCAAGAGAGGGCAGAAGGCACCGGCAGGCGGGCTGCAGAAGCGGGCAAGAGCGTACCGCCGAGAGGGCGGGGGCGGCAGTGAGTGAGGAGGAAAACTGAGAGAAGGCCGAGGGATTTAGCTCAAAAGGTCCTCGCGACCCTGGAGAGGGGGGCTCACTCAGCCAAGGGGCGGGATCAGACACCAGATGAACAAGGAGTGGTGGCGACGCGGACAAACGGCGACTTCGAGGAATTTCCAAGAAGCCAAAGAATGTGAGGTTTTAGTGTTACTACAGGAGCAGAAAATGGTATCTAACCAAATTGGGAAAGGGAAAAAACCCAACCCCGACGCGCCATTTTCCTGCAGCCCTGGATCCACCAGGTCGTCATCACTGTAATTACCACTGAGCTGGTTCATGTGCTTTTGTCTCTTCTGCCCAGGGAGACTCTAAACCCCGTGAAGACAGGCGAGACTGTGCCTTCCTGCTGCTACCCAGCCTCGCCTGTGCTGAGAGCTCAGTCAGTGCTTCCTCACCTAAGACAGTGAACCTTGAGTGATTTCCCTGCTCCTCAGATGGCTTCCACATCAGCTTTCCAGTTTAGGAAATGAGGCTCCTCTACAGTCTGACGCGACAACGCCTCCGTGCAAGGCCAGAACAGGGCCAAATGGCACCGTGCCTTCGACCCAGAGCCCACAGACACATGACTTCTATTTCAACATTAAGCCTGGGAGCAATTCATTCCTCTGTTTCAAAGGTCTTCATCGTGTAAATGAAATGACAGTGGGTCTTTACCTCTGAGGAGTGTTAGATGCTAATTGCAAGCACTTTAACTCCATGGCCAGGGAATTCCTCATCAATTCACACAAAGCTCACCAGTCACTAATGGAGAGGAGCACAGGCACCATCTGGGGCTCTTACCTGGCATAATCAATGGGGGTTTTCCCACTTGAGTCCTGAGTGCCTGGATCGGCCCCATACACTGCCAACAGCTCAGCCTGTAAAATCTGCCCCGCTTTGGCAGCCACGTGGAGTGGGGTGTTTCCCTTCTCCTAGGAGTAAGGAGTAATAAGAAGCAGACGTGACATTTAAACAAGACAATCATGACAAACAAATGTTTTCTAAAAAGCACAGCTAAACAACTTCATTGTCAGTTGCATAAACCAAACACATTTAGTACTAATTTAATGTTAATATGAGAATATATTTTCATACAGGGTGAAAAAAGTTGGCCTGGGCTCCTAAAGACAGCAGCCGTAAGCACGTTTCCAGATTTCCGGTCCTCACACTCGAATGGAGTTGCTGAAAAAGAAGAGAAAAGGCACATTAGAAGAAGGAAGGGAAGGAGCAGCGCCCCGTACCTGCCGCCGGCCCGGGACAGCTCGTACCCTGCTCTACAAGGCTCTGAAGGACACTCTGGTGCTTCCACGCTATGGACGGGATTTGAGGTGGACCACCATCATACCCAAGTCTGGAATCCAACCAGCCGAGCCATGCTGAAGCTTTAAGTATTTTCAGACGGCGATTACCTGTGCCTTCCTCTCGGGTCAAACCGAGAATTGTGGAATCCAATCATCCCCGGGACGTGTAGTAATCTACTGTCCTGCCAGTGCCCCAGCTCTAAGAGCAAGGGGCAAGGGTCACAGAAGCTTGTACAAAGAATCTGAATAAGGCCAATCTCGTCAACAAGCTGGAGGTGGATGTACTCCCTTGGTGGTCACTAAACATTTATTAAGGGCCTACTATATGCCAGGCACTGTGCTAAGTGCTGAGGACACAAAGAAAGGCAACTGTGTCCAGGATAAACTGGAAAGAATCAACAGAATTAGGGGGTACTGAGAAAGGCTTCGTACAGAGGTGGGACTTTAGCTGGACCCGGAAGGAAACAAGGGAAGCCAGGAGGCAGAGATGAGGAAGCAGAGTCCCAGCCAGGGGAGAAATCAGGTGACAGTGAGACAGACAGGAGGTGGGGTGTCTTCTGGGAACAGCCAGGAGGCCAGGGTGGGGCTGGATCACCCTGGGACAAAGAAGAAGGGAGGAACCGAGAAGGAGTAAGAATTCTGGAAAGGTCAGAGGAGGCAGCTTAGAAAGGGTTTTAAAAGTCAAAGGGAGGATTTTCTACTGGATGCCAGAAGAGACAGGAAGCCACTGGAGCCAAATGAGACAGAGAGAGTGTGTGTGAGTGTGACCATGTGAGAGCTGTGTAAGAGAGAGAGACAGAAAGAGAGAGAGAGAGATGATCTGACCTGCACTTCAGGAAAATCCCTTCAGCGGCTGGAAGGAGGATGGACTGGAAAGGGGAGATGCCTGAGGCAGGCAGACCCCTGCAGGCTATGGCAATGGTCCAAGTGTGAGGTGATGACGGTCTGCACCAGAGAGGTGGCAGTGTCAGAGGAGAGAAGGGGGCATATTCAAGAGAGGCCTCAAAGGTAAAGCATTAGTCCTGGGCACCACACTGGATCTGGGAGGGTGAGAGATGGTGAGGAGTCCAGCATGACTCCTAGATTGGGAGACCCAGGAACTTGCAGGATGGCAGTGCCCTCAATAGCAATGGGCAGCGGGGGAGGAATCAGGGGTAAAGATGACGAGCTCAGTTTTGGACGTATTGAGTTCAAGATGTCTACTGGACATCCAGTCTGAGATGCCTGAAAGGCAGACAGAGACACGAGACTGGAGGTCAGCAGAGAAATTAGGGCAAAACGGGTAGATTGGAGAATCATCAGCATAGAGACAGTAATTAAATCCATGGGAGCTGATGAGATTGCCAAGCAGAGTTGAACAGAGGGAGAAGGGGGCCCAGAATCAATATTTTCAAAGCAAAAGCAGTCTCTTCCTTGCATACTAGCTTCTCATGGGCATGTTAACAGCTGAGTCAGCCCACAGGATCCCAAGCTCAAGAGCTCAGTCACGAAGGCCACTCAGCCCACAGTCTGCTCTGTGGACCATCACCCACAGGCCTGAAAAGATTCACATTCTTCCACCAGCTTTGTTCTGTTCACTATTAATGTTACAAGGGCAGAGACAGAAAGGAAATGCATCCACTCAATAATATCCATAAGTATTTAGAAACAAAAAATTTCCCACACTTTATATGCTTTAAAACATCAAGAAAAATCCCAAATTTGAAAAACATCTGTATGAAATGCAGACTGCTTTTGGGAGCATATCCCTTCCCTTCTTGCCAAACACAGCCGACACAAACTGGAGAGGCAGCAGGGTACGTGGGACAGGGCACTGCCCTTGGGAGTCAGGAAGACTTGGGTTCCAATTCTGCCTCTTCCCCTTCCCATCTCCAAGCCTCAGTTTACTCATCTGTAAAACAAGGGGGGGAGCTGGTCTGAACTGTTTCTGAGGCCCATTTCAGCTTTAACTCTACAAGGTTCAGTTCTGCAGCCACCAAGCTTCCAGGACTTCAGAGGGGAAAAGTGCCACTGTCCAGGGTCCTGGTCCCGCTGCACCTGAAGCACTGTATTCAGGCACATTTGAGAAGGAACTCTGATAAGGGTCATGGAGAGGATGCAGAGAAGGGGGGGCCAGGGGAGTGAAAGCCCTCAAGTTCTCACAGGGGGCTGGGTTAAAGGAAGAGATGGTTGGGAGGATGGCGGCTGAGATGTGTGATAATAGCAATTTTAAAGTTCTACCGTGTGAAACTGGCCCCCACAGGGCAAAGTAACAAATTTAAATTTGATGGGGGTGATGTGGGGAGGAGGCAGAACTCTCTAACAACTAGAATTATCCGAAACTGATCATCAGATTGACCCCAAAACAGAACCAGCTGCCCTGCATATCAGCGGCTCCCCAGCACTGGAGACCTTCATGTAATGGCTGAATGATGGATTGTTTCGGGGGGTATAGGTTAGACTTGGTGGCTGCTAAGATTCTGTTAATTTCCAATGCAGGCACTGCCAACCTCCTGTGACACAGCTATCGATAACCCAGAGTCTACAAATAATCCATGGTTTTTGCCAAACTGATTTTTTCTGACAAAATAAAAATGGTTCAAAAACACTGCTTGTTTGCCTAGAATTGCAGCGATTTTTAGATGGAAGAAGTCACAGGCTCACCTTGCTGAGGTCTTTGGCAGTAACACTGTCGTCATCGCGGCAGGGCAGGCGGTGAACAAACGCAAGCATCTGGTACTTGGCTCTGATGAATTCCGCTTTATTGGGACTAGTTAAAAATCAAAACCGAAAATCAGTTGCTCATAATTCAGATTGATTATTCCCTCACCTTTAAACCTCAGGAGGCCCACAAGCCCTACAAAATGCTGCAATACCTCCACGTCTAAGGGGTTAGTGGGGCCTGGCGATGTCTACTATGGGAGAGCAGCAGCAAGAATACTACTCCCCTCCCTACACACCTCAACATCAGTATATTTTTGTTCCTTTTTTGGGGGGGGGGCAAGGCAATTGGGGTTAAGTGACTTGCCCAGGGTCACACAGCTAGTAAGTGTTATGTGTCTGAGGCCGGATTTGAACTCAGGCCCTCCTGACTCCAGGGCTGGTGCTCTACCCACTGCACCACCTAGCTGCCCCTATACCTGTTTATTTTCATAATACTACCATGGAACTGAAAGCAAGGGAGCTGAACAAGATGCCAGCCAAGACAGAGGGGTGCACAGGCCTAGAGCTTGTGACAGCACGCCAGGGCGTTTTCTGCTAAATGATACTACGTTTCATTTGGCCTCCGAAGTTTGCTTTATACGCTATGGTGTCTTGGGTAGAAAATGGAGACTCAGATTGACAAAGGTGCACAGTAAGTAAAGGTGACTGTGTCTGCAGTAAGCAGCATGTACACCAATCCCTCCAACGTTCTCAGTGCTGGCACCTGCTTTAAGATCAGGCTCATCGTTCCCTTTGCTGCCCTTGTGAGACCGAACCAAAATGATGGCACTGCTTTAAATGCCCCCCCCCTTAACAAAGGAAAAAGGTATTTATAAACTTTCCACTCACTGCACTTTATCCTGTGGATTAGCTTTCCGCCTCCCACTCATGATGGAAGCAGGGTCCAGCAAAGAATGTTCCCAGATAGAATTAGCACCATTATTATACAGAGTTTCAACCATCTAAAAGCAAAGGTTAAAAAAAAAATCACATTTTAGTTTCTGTGCATTCAGTAATGAGCAATGCATGAAAATGAACTCTGGAGAATTAATGAAAATTAAACTGGAAAGCTCTAGTCTGCAGAGGCCGGCCACCCCCAACATCAGTGTCAGGAATGAGGAGGATGCCTAGGGCCCTGGTTCTCAGCATCAGAGAGCGGTGTGCTTGAGGAGCAGAAGCACAAAACACATGATGCTCTCCCCAGAGCTTCACCGCACCACTGTCACAGGCTGCAATTTTGGAAAAGTTCTTCCCGACTCCTCAGAACAAAAGGACTCACATCTTAAATCCATCATCTCTATTCGTCCAACAAACCTAATGCCGCCCTCTGGTTCTAAAAAGCACAGAGCGCCACTTTCTGCAAGAGAACGGAACAGAGGCTCTAGTGTGAGCTTGCGAGCTCGTTGTTATGATCTGCCCTCTACCCCAATTCCCGTTTACAGTAGAAAGGATGACCCAGCAACTAAGGTGCCTGCCTTCACGTCAGCGTGTGACAGTTTTATGGAAGGGATTAAACACCATTTGTTTGGGGCTTAGGTCACCAAGGCCGTGCTTGACGGATGAGGCGAGTATCTGGCCACAGCGCCAGTGAAACGTGTATTCAAGACAAATATAGGAGGAAAAACACATGCTTAACTCTGGGCGCCCCGGGCCTGTAAAATGTGTCAAACCAAAATAGAAACATGTATGAAATTACAATGGGCCTCAAGCAAAAAGCAAAAACTGAGCCAGGATCTCACCCAGCACTGGCCAGAGGAAAGACCAGACGCAACCGGCAGGGCCTAGAGGGCCTACAGCAGGGCTGGGGAACCCGTGGCTTTGAGCGGCAGATTCCCCACCCCTGGCCTAGAGCAACCCCACCCAGGACCAACTTTAGAAAACTGAATTAAGGCCAATGTTGGGGAAAAATCGGAAGTGTCCTAAGATGTGAAGTCTTTACTACTGCAAAAATAAGGTTCAAAAATGTTAGCAGGTACCCAGGAATTTAAGGACAATGATGAACATATTCTATGGCAGGAGCTCTGAGAAACAGCTATTTGTGATGTTATTGGTGATAATGACTGTGGACATCTGTCCAGCTCTGAGGACTGGCTGCGTTTGAGCCTCTGAGCCACCCTGTGAAGGAGCCACCCCAGACCTATCAGGAAGCAAAGGGATTAACTCTGGTCACAGGGCCACCATTAAGGCAGAATTTGAACCCGGGTCTGGACCAATTCCAAGCACAGCACTCTTTCCATTATCCCACCACAAGGCCTCACCACATAATAAGGGTGGTGCTGGCTACTGGGAGGAGTCAAGGTAAACACAAAACGCTACTGTTCTGTCACAAAGGGAGCCGGGTGCCAGGTCGGGTCACACGGGATCCATCCCAGAAGAGTGCAAAAACAGAAGCTCTCTCTGATGCTAACGTCATACCACACTGCACAAGCATTTGTGTAAGTTTCACGACATAGCCTAGTGCAAACAGAACCCTGACCAATGAAACGAACGTCCGATCTAATTTCTATCACAAACCCGCAGAAATACAATCTGCGCCTTTACCTGAAGCAACGTGGGGGGCCACGGCGTGTGCTTCAGATGCCTCACTTGAGAGATGTGACGTCCCAGGCTCCGATGTACGCTGCAGCACTCATCACATATCAAAATTCCCCTGTTCACTGATGCCCAAGAGGGATCTAAGAAGGGAAAGCAAAGCAGTATTTTGTACCACACAATGTGACAAAGGGATAGAGTACAGGCAAAAACAGCAAAATGGGTTACGAATTAAATCAATAAGTAAATAAGAATCCATAATAAATAAACAAATGATAAATTAAATTTCCCAAAGAAACACAAAGCACACACGCTCCCTTAGTTCTCAGCAGTATCTTTCTCATTAGATTATTTTATTTAAACCTATTTGTTTACATGCTGCATCTCTCAGCAGAACCGAAGTTCCTCAGGGGCAAGGATGATTTATCACTTGTCTTTGTATCCTGTGCACCTAGCATAAATGAGTATTTGCTAACCTGAACTGATGGGGAGCCAATCTGAAGACAGGCTGATGCCTGGCGGTAAGCAAAGAGCTAATGATACTCAGGTCACACGTTCGATCTCCACATGGGAGAGTTACAGCCAGACTTCAGCCTAACATAAACTCAGACAGTGACCCAAGGTGGGAATGTACAGATGTTCTAAATGGGAATTTAGAACTAAATTTTAGATTAAAACTAAATTATATTTAAATTAAATTCAACTTTAGAACTAAAAAGGGAATGTTCTAAATCTTGAAAAGAGCCTAAAGCAGTAGCCCTACCAAGAGAAGACTGGTACCATCACCTTATTCAATGGAGCAGAGGAAGGATGGTGTCCTTTCAAAGCTCAAGCCCGACATTTTGCTTCGGGCTATACAATGCAGCCAATAGTCAGAGACTTTTCAACGTGAATCATCAACCATCGACAGGTGCTAGGAGCCCAGGACGACACATTACAGGAGGTGCAAACACGCGGGAGAGCAGCAGCTTAGGAACCCTTTCAAAACAAAGCCCCACTGGCCTGGGATGCCAAACGCCCTTACTTGTCAGCATCTGGATCCAATCACAATTCCAATGAAACCATCTCAATCAATTTTAAAACGACTCTGAGTGGATCCACACGTACAGCAGCAGTGCGAAGTCCAACAGAAGCCTCAGTCATCCCAGACCAGTCACTCCAATGAGCAGGTTCTGACGTCATACGCAGAGCTGACCTCTGCTGAGAACTCTCTACAGAGATGCATCCGCCCCTTCCTTTACATCAACTACAGGCCAATGAACTTGACATCAATTCCCAGGGAGATTCTGAACTGATCATTCAGGAGAAGGCTAGCAAACATTTCAAAAAGGAAGCTCGGCTCATCAAGACATGACATGCGAAGCTTTTTTGGACAGGGTTTCTAAACTGTGTGCAGATTCTGTTGCTCAGTTGTGTCCATATCTAAGGGTCCATGTTGTTGTTGTTCACTCGCGTCTGACTCCGTGACCCCATTTGGGGTTTTCCCCAGCTCACTTTACAGATGAGGAAACTGAGGTAAACAGGGTGAAATGACTTGACAGGCCCAGTACTCTGTACAACATGGAGACACCTAGCTGCCCCACCCAGATTTTTAGCAAAGTATCTTTTCTTCTAGAAAAGATGAATATGGAACTGGCCGAATAGTATGACTCACAGAGTAATCATTAATGCTTCGATGTCAGCGTGGCAGGAGGTCCTCAGTGGAGGGCCCCGAGGACTGGTGCTCAGCTGTGAAACACTTTATCAGTGGCTTGGATCAAGGCTTAAGTGGCACGCTCAGCACCTTTCCAGATGACCCACAAGTGGGAAAGACAGTGAGCTGGGGGACCAAGTCAGGATCCAAAAGCTACTGACAGGCTACCGCACTGGGCTGAAGTTAATAAGATGAATTAAATCAAGTTCATTGGAGATTAATGTCACTTGGGTTCAAAAAATCCATTTCACCAGCGGAAGGTGGGGAAGTCACGGTTTGACATCAGTTGTTTTGAAAAGGATCTAGGTTTCTAGTGACATGCAAACTCAATGAGTCGGCAGTGTGCTGGCAGCCAAAAAACTGAATGTGACCATGGGGTTCCTTAAGAGAGGGAGAATCACTCCCAGCAATGTCCTCTGGCCCTGCTTCGACCACTTCTAAAGCACTGGGCTCCATTCAGGTCATTACAGCATAGGAAGAACCCTGATAAGCTGGAGAGTCCAAGAAAGATGACCAGGGTGGGGTGAAGGGAGTGGGGAGGGGATATTTAGTCTGGAGAGGGGTTAGATTTTTTCTGTTTAGCTCCGGAAGGCGGAATCAAGAGCGGTGGATCAAAGCTGAAAGGAGACAAGTTAGGATGGATCTAGAGGAAATGCAGCTCTCCGTCACCAGAGCTACTCGAGCAGAGAGCCACTTGTTCCAGGGGGTACCAGAGGGACTCCCTCTTCAGTCAGGGATTTGTCCAGAGAATCCCAAAGTCCCTTCTAACTCACATTCTAGAATATGTGATAATGAGTCAAAGTTTAATAGAACTTCAAGATTTTCCAAGTTGGTTTTCAGAGATGTCAGGTGGTATTATATTATCTCCATGTTCCAGAGAAGGAAACTGAGACCCCGGGGGATGCAGTGACTTGGCCAGGGTCACACAACCAGCAACCTCGAGTCATGGAGAGAAAGGAAGCCAGGAGACTAGTTAGAAGGCAACTGCCCTCACCCAGGTAAGAGATGCCGAGGGCCTGGACTAGACTATGGCTGTAAGAGGACGGCAGTATCAATGAAGAGGAAAGTATGGAAGGCAGGAGGGCTTGAGGTCATCCTATTGGACATCCTATTGGAGATGTCTAAGCGCCAGTTAGAGACACAAGACCCGCCATCGGGGGAGAGATTAGATCTGTGAATCAAGAGCAAGACTCATGGGAGCTGGCAGGATCGACAAGAGAGAATGTTCGGAGCATGAAGCTGGGAGGGCCCAGACAGAGTCCGGGGGAGCGCGCACGCCGGGCCAGGAGACTGAGAAGGAGCAAATGGACAGAGGGAGAGAACAGCATCGCCAGAACCTGGAGAGGAGAGAGCAGGGACTGACCGGGCCCAAGGCTGCAGGCTAAGGAGAAACCTGACTGCAGGAAGGCCACTGGACTTGGCACCTGAGAGATCAATGGTATGGAGAGGGCAGCTTCAAGTGAATGATGAGGGGAAGCCAGACTGAAGAGAGTGAGAAGAGAGGAAGTGCAGGGACCGACTGCGCGTGGCTTTCTCAAGGAGCTGAGTCAAGATGGGGAGGAGAGATGTAGAGAGGGAGACAGCTAGCTGGCAGGGATGATCAGATCAAGAGAGGTTTTGAGGGACAGGGGAGACAGGCATATTTGTGGGCAGCAAGGAAGAAGATAAAAGAGAAGAATGATGGTGCGGGCGTGAATGGGGGCAACCTGTGATCAAAGCAGAAGAAAATAAATGTAAATGTTCCATTTTTCTAAGAGGTGGAAAACCAGGGGGCCACAGGGGGCCAAGATCTCAAATGAGAAAGCTGTATTTTGAGTGTTCATATCTATGCTCTATAAAATTCCACAGAACTTAGCCTAACTGCTTTCAAAACAAATGAGATTTAAACTCAGTAAATAAGGGCAGTTAGGGGGTGCAGTGGATAGAGCACCGGCCTTTAAGTCAGAAAGACCTGAGTTCAAATCCGGCCTCAGACACTTGACCCTGGGCAAGTCACTTAACCCCACTGCCTAGCCAAAAAAACAAAAAACAAATAAAAAAAAACCCAACTCAGTAAATAGACTAACTTGAGAAAAGTTCATGAAATATTAAAAAATAAAAATGAATGAAGACCCGCCTTTTCATTTAATTGACAGCTTGAAAAATGGGTACCATTCAAGTTACCTTTGACACCAGAGGGTCCAGAATTTCAGAATACTTTGAAAGACCAAGCTGCATCAATGCTGTATATTTTAAAATCCATAATGAAAATTGTTATTTCAAAGTAAAATTGTAATAAAATCCTTATATCAATTGACATAGCTGGTCCTTCCGATGTTAAAAAAAAAAAATTCGGCAATGCCCCTAAGCAGCCCCAAATCAATGGAAAACACAGAGGACCTTCATTTTTTTTTTTAAACTACCAAATTCAGACCCTTACAAACTATACTGTGAAAAATTAATAGGATTTTTGAGTTGAGTGCTGCAACTGATAAATCTGCTTTTCGGACTTGTTACAAACCCACAAGCATGTAGAAGGTGCTAAGTTTTCTGTATCTCTATTAAACTATGAAGAAAAACAAACGAATAACAAATTTGTTTTTGAAATTATTTTCCAAGTATTATACTGATATTTTCAGAAACTCACTCAACTTCACTATCACTAGAAAGAGCCCCAGATTGGAAGTAATTAAACATTTAGTGAAAATATGAAAATTCTAAAGGATGGAAGCTGGGACAGAAAGTCATCGTTTAGCTTAGTTAAAAACAGGGAAGCATTGAACACAGCTCTCTGCAAGTTATCTGAATATTAACAAAAAGTTAGGAGTAGTGGGAAACTGATTTTTTTCCCCAGATGTTGACAGTTATCAACCAGCATCTGATCTACAAGGAAAAAGAGCAGCTTTTTTAAATTATTTTTTTTCTAATTAATCAAAAGCCACCTCTTCTCCTTCCCACCATTACCTCCCAGTGAAAAAGCAACAAAAAATAAAGCCTTGTAACAAATTCGTAGACAAGCAACAGATCCCCAAATTTGCTACGGTCGAAAAATACATCCATGTCTTTATCTGCACCGTAGGGAGGAGAACACGTGTCCTGCGTCCTCTGGAATCATGGCTGATCCCGGAGTCAATCAATTAGAGTTCTTTGTTTTTACAACATTGTTGTTACTGAATGAAACCTCCTCACTCTGCATCAGTTCATCCAAGTCTTCTCAGGCTTCCCTAAAATCGTCCCCTTCCTCGTTTCTTACAGCACACCAGCATTCTATAACCTTCTCCTTCACAGCCATTCCCCAATGGGTGGGCATCCCCTCAGTTTCCAATTCTTTGCCACCATAAAAAAAGCTGCTCTCAACAATTTTGTCCAGGAGGGTCCTCTTCCTTTGATCCCTTTGGGGCGCAGACATGGTAGCAGAATCACTGGGTAAAGGGTATGTTCAGCTTTGGGGTGCAGAGTTCCAAACTCCTC